AACACTGACAGTAACTAATGCTTATAAAATAAGTCTTCCCTTATAAAGTAGAGGAATTGGCATTGAAGAATGGTCTTAAGATCCTTATTTGGGTCAGTTGGTATCAATAACAAATAAGAAAAGGATAAAAAAGAAGACTTAAACGAATAGGAGTGCTTTGGAAGATCGCGCATGGTCGCACAATGTGTGGTGCCTGAATTAACATACAGTACTGTATAAGAACAGAAGACAAGATACAGATATGCATCTGCATATATTTAAGTTTCAAATTGTAACCTTGTGTTCTTATTCTATTGAGACAAAATAATTTTGTGGTTCACTCTACGTTTTTAAAAAATAAAGAATCACCAATTATTTTTTGTTTTTCACGCATAATTTAAAATAGCCAATAATTTGTACAGGTATGTCTCAGCTCACTGCTATAAGTCTTGCCAGTGTAGGCAGACTTCTCTGACACACCCACTTTTGAGGTACTCGTCTTTTATACATCAGCACAGCCCCAAACCAGAGGTTAAGTACAGTACATACTGGAATGACTCAGGGGTTGATGTGTCATTGCAAGCAGAGAAACCCAATTAATCCCACCCTACCCTCAGTGTCCAATTGTGCAGTCCTGTTTAGGGAATCATGATCTTATTTGTCCCGTGACAAGACAAGGATTCAAATCTATGCCATACCTCCACCCATCCATCTTCTAACGACTTTATCCAGAACAGGCTCTGGCTCCACAGCGACGATATCTTGATATGCCCAATGCAGGGTGGAACACTAGTCCGTTGCAGGGCACACACAGAGACACAATCTCACACCAGGTCCAATTTTCCCAGAAGCCAATTAACTTACTGTCTTTGGAATGTGGGACGAAACCATAGCACCCAAAGGAAATCCGCACAAACTCCACAAAGATACCCCAGGAACTGAGATAGCAATGCTAACCACTGCATCACCGTGCCACCCAAAACATAAAAAATACAAACCAAAAGAAATGTTGGAAATTACTTGGTAATATTTCAGTACAGGAGCTGAATATCTTGTATAAATATGACATTGGAACCAGTCGGGTTAGGGAAAAGTTCTATAGAGAAAACCAAAAACATTTCCACTTGTATAGAAGGGGAGTGGATAAGGAACACAGCAAAGAGTAAGGAAATTATGAAAATCTACCTACAAATATTGTAAATACTAGGAGCAAGATATAGAAAACAGTTTTTTAGCAGGTAATGGTGATGTAAATGGAATTTTTGAAAATGCCTAAAGAGATTGATGCTGTCAAATATGACATTAGTGGAAGAAGTATAGTACTATACACCAAAAAAGAGCATTCAGACAGAAAAATAAGGTCTCAAAATGTAAGTCAAATGAGTCAAATGTAACTAAAACACCTATTAGCAACCCGCATAAGCATATACTGCATAGCTGAGCTTGTAAATAGATAACTCATAGAAAAACTCTTGACAGTGAAGTTTATCAGCAGGTACGGAACAAAGACCAAGAGTTTTGTAGACATCTATCAAACTGGAAGACATTTCCTTGTTGATGTAATAATAGCTGGATCCTGAAAGATTAGCTATATTCCTTTCTCTATTATCAACTGTATTTATCATAACATCCATTCTAATGCCATTTTTTAATTCAGCAAACATTCTACATTGTATTAAACTTAGAATATATGGAGCACACAATACTGCATATGATACATACAGTATACTATCAATTGTAATCACTCTTTTTCATCATTTGATTTTTCATCATAGTAATCATCATCCTTATAGACTGTAAAAGCTATTTGACTTCCGAAAATAAATCAAGTAAAATTCTGAAGTTGTTCCATTACTTCCTTTCAAGGATCATAACGAGTTAAGACAATCACAACACAGTAGATTAGAATAATTTCTAATTAGCTACTAGGGTGGCACAGTGGTTAGTATTGCTGCCAGTGCTACTGGGGTGGAGCCCTGGGTTCACTTCTGGACCTGGCACGGTATCTGCATGCAATTTGTATGTACTTCCCATGTTTGATTGGGTTTCCTATTGGTCCTGGTGTGAGGGTGTGGTGTGTTTCTATGGGCCAAGGTGTATCCTGCCTTGCTTGCCAGAGAAAGGCTAGAAACAAGGGGAGGCCATGTCCCCTATCTACCTTATGTAATAGCTAGTAGATAATATGAGGATCTAATCCAGCCATTTTTTTAAAAAAGCAGAGGTAACAAAGCTCAACAACATGACTGTGTAGCCTAATACACACTCCCTCCTCTGCTCTTCAGGATAACATCTTCCTAAGGATTTCTGTCATATGTTTCTTGATAGTCTGGCACCAAGATCTAAGCCTTATAAGCATACTCTAATTGAGAAGTGTGTGTCCTGTCACAATTCATTGAAGATTTTGCAAAACTGGTAACTGCCTTCTGTCCCATCTGTATCTGTGACACTGATTAGACTGAGGAATGTGGCCATATGAAATACTATGGGGCCCTGGGTTCAAGCATGCTATTCATGCTTTTGTGGTTAAGTCTCATCATTAAAATTCCATATGCCACAAGAATATATACATAATCACAGACAGATTCATTCATATGCAACAGTATGTATTTCAACTTTAATATTTTTAAAGGCACTGAATTAGATACATATTCAAGGATGTAACACCATAGTATTTAAGACTTCAATATTATCATGAACTGCATATGCACCCTGTCATATTATACCATCAGAAAAAAATAATCTTGAAGCAAAGAAAAAACACATCTTTCCTTACAAATGGAACAAGTCCAAGCAAAAACCTCAGCAGTAAAGCATTTTGATTTGTTCTTTACATGCTTGTCAACTTCCTTCATGCACTAAACATACCTGTCTGCAATGATCTCCAGGTGTGTATTCTGTATTATATTTAAGTAAAACAGACGTTTCGTTGAACCAGAGGCACTAAGTATTGAGTTACTGCACCAGCAGGGTTTCTTACATTTCCAAATGTAAATAAACGACAACCCTACTGAGCTATAAATTGGCAACTAAAGTTTTAGACTTGGAAGAAAAATGAGAATATCTCCAGAACAGCAATTCATAAAGTCCTTAGTATTTGTTTTTTCTAACCAAGGAGAAAGGATGTAATAAATTCTATTTTTTAATTTATACCCAAGAACAAGACATCCTCTTTCTTCACAGAACATGCCTTTACCAAAAGGAAAAAACAGAACTGGGGTGTTAGAGAGGTCAGGGGACATCAATGAATTGTAGGTTTGACTGCCATCTTTGAGGTTATTGCCGAATACTAAATAAAGCTTTCTTTTCAGGTTTGGGATACAGCTAAACAAAAACTTGAAAGACATTTCATAACATTTTTCTAAATATGACATTATAATGAATCTACATTTGAAGCTTAAATAAACTGATGAAAACAGTTCGCCTCACGATGGGAACACTGCCCCTGCATTAATAAGTCAGGTGTCAGAAAAAGCTGGACGTTTTTGGTCCACCATAAAGAACCAAACATGATTGATACTGCAGTACCTCATATTACAAATTATATTATACATTATACATTGTTTTGGGCCTTTTATTGTCCATTTTAATTACAATTTTTGATCTGTAAAACAAATCACAAAATCACAAAAGACACGGCATCCCCATCCTTCTACTTTCATAATCATAAACTCCTTACAGGCAATTCACCTTTCTATTTTCCACATCAAAGTACCAAAGATTCCAGGAGATATTTTCTCCTCCTCAGTTTGATCTTATGATGGTATCCCAAGGTGGGTGAGGTTGTTTATGCACCTCAAGCATGATCTGTTTGCCCTCAGGGACAAAACAAAACAATTGGCTTCCTGTATTTATCTTCTTAAGTATATGTTATACCAGTGGGAGTTACAGGCAACTTCTTACATGTTTTGGGAGTGTCCAGAGATATTTAAGGTCTGGTAACAGGTTTCTTCCTTTCTGCCTATTATTCTAAATAGGGAAATTTCCTGTTCTCATTTGACTACTGTTAGATAATGACTACATCTCCAGAAATGCATTGACTGATGCTAAAAAACACTTGATGTAGCATCAGAAGTCTCTGCATTCCCTCTCCCGACATCATTGGTTCTTGACCTATCTCAATATTATTGAGATGGAGCTCTCCACTGATAGCATCTATGAAACTAGTGGAGGGATGTAGTGTAGTTATTGACACAGAGCTTCCACTGAATTTGTTTGACTGTATTTTAGGCATCCTTCAGTTGAAATTTGGAAGGGCCGAGAAGGAGGGTAATGGGAATGTTGAAAGCGTGTGAGGTAATTATTTTATTTTTGGGATTTGTTATACTTCAAAAATAAAAAATGGCTAGAGAACTTTCACAGACTCATTCACACTCTCTATAGCAATCTATGGGTTTTATAAATCTCTTATATCCCATTCCAAGTAAAAACAAACATTGAAATGCTGGCAAGACAATACAGGGAGATGGGCATTAGATCAACAAAAAAAGCTGTGGTTTGTCACAGTCAGTTGTGTGGAATGAAAAACTGCAGGACATCTGGAGAACTGTGAAATGGCATACACTTTCTGTTGTGAAACACACCAAGGATGTTCAGCAGAAAGATATTTAACATCTAATAGCTAAACTGCAAATATTTAAGTAATCAGAGTATTTAAAATTTATCAATGCACTGATGTCTGATTAACATTTCAGATGTAATTAACCTTTTTAGACAAGCTGAACATCACTAATGTGATTTTTTTAGGTACATTGTCTTTCTCTAACTTGTTTCTAGATTATACAGAGAGTTATTAAACATATCTTTAAAGAGGGCATTGTCCATGTAAAATATAGACATCCCTAAGATTTTTAAATTTGAATAAAGGATAATAGACAAAAGCATGTAACCAAAGCACTTATATATAATTCCATTACGACAGACTTAGATAAAAGTATTTTTCAGTCATTGGTTTGGTGTAATTGATGTTCAGATGGTATAGATAAGTACAGATGTAAGTATTAACAACAACTGAGAGGCAACCCAACAGAAGAGGCAAATTTATTTACAACAATGAATGGAAAATACATTAAAAATCATGTCCAGTACATTTTAACTCAAAGCAACTTTTAAAATGAAAATATATTCTACATTATAATCTAGTTAAATTAAAAGAGAAGGCTCCTGTTTAAAAAATAGATAACTACAAAGTTAGTTTTTGCTTTAGGCTCTTCATACATATTTACAAAGCATTATGATGTCATCAACTGCATGATCCCAACTAAGTGGAATTTAGTGAAACTTTTATCTTTTAACTTTGCTTCATCGATTGACCAAATTCTAAAATACCTGATGAGCATAATACAACATTTGAGCACATACACTCTTCTCCAATTTTATTTGATATCCTTCAAAAACAAAGCATGACTAGAACATTCTAAATGGTGTATAAAAAATATAATGTATGCAATACATGTTACAGTTCTATATATTATAAAACTTAATTAAAAACTGTTATAGTTTTTTTGTGTTCTTAAACTCATCTTTACCAGTCTTCTTTTTTAAGCCACTGAAGTACTTCTCCCGGAATGAGTTGTGGCCTTGGTAAGGATTAAATCTAGCATGTAAAAGATGTGCAAGTCCATCTGCATCCTGTAAAACACATAATTGGTTAAATTAATATTTGCCATGCACTCTTTATTAAATATAACCTCTGTGTGTTTCTTTAAAAGTGAAAGGATTCTTAAATACACAATGCAGTTGAAATATTAAGCCATTTACCAACACAAACTGAACTTTAATAAATGATATTAATAATCCTTAGCACAGATAAATCATTTTCATTTTTCCAATAAAGGTTAGTGCCTGTTAAGTCTACATAATCTGAGTCATTGTTTTGGCAGATGAATTAAAGTACTGAGAGGGTTATGTCTACCGTAATTAACTTTCATGTCACAAATACTGTACATTACTTAATCTACATTACAAATTACAAAATGGACCAAACACAAGAAGGGCTCATTAATAAATATCCCAAAAAGAATACATTATAATGTAAATAATGTAAGCACACCAAGGCAGAAATAAAATTTGAACACCCAACTTGCACACATTTTTATAACACATCACAAAGTTGACTCAATGTAAAAGTCAAAACACTGTAATAAAAATCAATATTAGAATATGATATATGCTCCTTTTCTTGTCAGAATATTCGGTGGAATATGTTTTGGATAAAGGGGGAAAATGTTGATAAATTTCAGGTTTAAAAGTGGTAAAGTTATTTCCCTCCAGACACTGATCTTGGCTGTGAGTTAAAGCAAAAATTTATATGAGAATGAAGGAACGCCAGGCAATGGGTTGTGAAAGTCAAATTGATTTTTAGGAGAATTTTACAAGGCTTTTGCATTATCATTTGCCAAGTACCAGAAAATTAAAAAAAATATCATGCAAACAAAAAAACTGTTATAAAGTCACTCAAAAGGATGTTTTTATCAATTCCATTTTCTAGTATGCTAATAAGTCAACAACACAAATTATGCAACAACGCATTCACAGTTTATTCTTCCCCTTTAAGTACTGTTAAAATGTTGAATAAAAAATCTTTATATTAATAAAAGACTAATGCAATCAAAGTGCATAATACAATACAAATCATGTTCTGAAGTGTTGTAAACAAAATTGGTGTAAATTTAAAAAAATGTTCTTGTATAAAGAAATCACATTTTATTTTAAGAAAGGTCAGTGAACAGACTGCACAATAATAAGTAAATCTTTGTTGCCAAGCTCAAATTAGGAACCCAGCTGGATATTAGAATGCCTTATCCACATTTTAATTGAAACATGTGCATATACAGAGTCAGCCTGCCTTTCATTTGAGACTATAGCTCTCCTGCTTGCCTGCAGGAAACATGTTAAGAACCTGTTATGAAACATCTCATTCTTACACCTTAAAACAATATATGTTTCTGATCCAAAATTGTGTAAGCCTTTAAAGAGGTGAAGTTCATATCTTGGAGTTTTGACTCCAGGCCCACCCCATATAATGCTTATGAAATCAAAACAAGAGCTCCAAAAAAGTTCACAGGACAGTGAAGTTTGAAGGAGGGGTAATGAGGTGTTTAAGAGATGGTAAACTGTAACTGAGGTGATTATTTTTACCCAGCCTGCTTCTCATCAAGACCACCTATTCTCTTTCCAAAGAGCCAAAATACACTTTTGATTATACAAGTTGTTTTAGTAGTTTAGTAGGCACAGTATGACAAATATACATTCTTGCCCTTATGTAAACTCGATATGCCACCTAAAGGACCTGACTTCAATATAAACTGTATTCTACAAATAATATGTCCAGTTCTATTTAGACCTTTACATAGATCATTAGGGAAAACAAATCAGATGTTAAATTGATTTGCTGTTGATAAATGTCTTCCAGATTAATTTCCACTTATGATAATGGAACAGTTAAAATTTGAACATCGAAAAGAAATAAAGCGGACAACGTTCTGGAATCAAAAGTTACTGTAAATAATGAAACCAAAAGTAAACATCTTCAGATTGCAGATGAAAAACAAAATGGATAATAATTTAAGAAAATAATGCACTGATTAATTTAATCAACCAAATTTTGCCCATGAATAGGGCCATAAGCTACTCCATTGCAAGAAGCATCTTCATACAGCAGACTCACCATTAAAATCACAATAAGCGCTCTCAGCAACATCCGGGAGATGGCATAAATGTACGTCTCTTGTGCACTGAACACAAGAATAAACTTATTGATGTGTACACTTTAGCAGCAAGTATATTTTGTTCTTGGATGGGTACAGAACCTTTGCATCTATTGTTTTAGCTAGCCAAGTATGTTAATTTGTGATATACATTTATACAATATACTAATGTTTCATAGAGGATTTGGTATAAAATTCAAGGATAATAGATAAACATAAAAAAATCACATCAAGGCACAGCATTTTTTAAACTCGTTGTGACCTTTAAGCAGACAGTAAATGACAGTACCAAAGCTATGCCTTCTGTGGCTTCAAAAGACTTTGCTAGAGAATGCGATTAAGAAAATGTACATTACATTCCCAAAAGTTAACTTGATTTCCTCTTAGTTAAAATATGAAAGGATTTATCTTTAAAGTGGAGCATCAAAGCTAATAGCCCACCTCAAACTGTTTTTTGAATGAGACAATGGTTTCTTATAATCCATGGTATTAATATCTACCCATTTACATCCTATTTTGTGACATCTGTTTTTTAAAGTTGTCACTAATGTAAGCCACTTCAAATTAATGGTCTATGAGGCCAGGAATGAAAAGTGCAAGCTGTTGCTACAAGGGTTTAAGCCCTGTTATTTCTGGGCATTTGCAGATCAACGCTACTAATGGTTCAGAAAGGGGTATAAGTAATAGTCAAGAAAAAAAGAAGAGGGGTCTTTAACAGGATAGCTAGTAACGAATACTGTTAGGGTAAGTGTAAACATTAAATAATCAGGAGCTAAAAAAAAATCCCTTCTTGCAAAAACAGACAAGAAAACAAAAATAAAATCCATACTGCAAATGAAATCCTGTTTTTAATCAGTGGGCCTCAGTTCAGCTAGAGGGCAAATCCCAGAGTCTGTTTTTTGTTTGAGACAAATCCTTGATGCTTGTTCTGTAGCTCAGCTCAAGTCTCTGTATCTGATGACCCAGTTCAACAGTAGCAACAGGAAAATGCACACAAACTAAACATTTAAACACTGCTGATTAAACATTATTTTGCACCTTTTTCATCTCCAAGTAATTTAATGTACAGCACAAAAAATGGCATAGATGTAATGAAAATAAATAATTATTCTGTAAGCTGATGTTATGAGTATTGAACCAATAACATCTGTTGCATTTTTAATTCCTCTCATATATTAATAAGCCTGATACCTCACTATTCATTCCATTCAGAACTTGGGGAACCACATTGGAAATGGCAAGCTATCAAGATGTCTACATCACAGATCTTCAACCTCAAGAGCATTACATTCTTTTGAAGATAAAGTTCCTTGGATTTTCAGAGATGACAGAGGACACTAAGCACAAACAAGAATTTTGAAAATCTCATTCACTTCACTCTTCACAACTTCCCCTGTGAAAGATCAAAATTCTTAGTCAGCCAATTATTTGCCATGTAGAAAAATCTCCAAGAAAGAAAACAAACAAAAAGTCTCTGAAAGAACCAACATTTTTTTTTTAAAAGACAGCGGCAAATTGTAAATGCCCTTGCCAAAATAAACACTAATCACTCTTAACAGTAACAGGTACAATCTGTTTTACCATCCTGAGTGCTGTTTGACAACAGTGTCATCGCTTGCTGTGCTGACACAGCTGGGCTCCAGCCAGCGGGTGAGACGAATTCTGGAGATGAATTCCTGCTTCTCCACACGCCCCTCCTGCTCCCACCTTTACTCCTACCTTCGCACAGCCCACTAAGCACCAGTCTGCTGCGACTCCAAAACACAGTTTTAAACCTGTCAGCACCACATGTTTTTGTTGCTAAGCAGAGGGATAATTAACACATTTTGCTAATGCTGAAAAGAAAAGAAAAGAAGCACAATGTGAACACCTGAAGTAGGCTCCTCCGCCAAAATGTTGTTTCTTTTCTCCTCTTTTCAGCATAGAATAAACCTTTACTTGTTCTTAAACAGCCTACGCATGCTGACGCAGCTAGCTACTTGAACATTTTGCTCATTACTGCAGGCCAATAACTTGGCAAAATAACTGCAAAAGCTTAAAATTTCATAACAGATTTTTGTTTTAAAGTGATATATATTACCTAATGTCTGACAGGTACTGTATGTAACTGCAGGTTACTGTTCCTTAAAAAAGTATTCGGACCCTTACACAGTTGTCATAATTTGTTACTTAAAGCCTGCAGTCATGATACTCTGAAGTAGCTATTTATATTTGTTATGTGTACAACCTACTCCTCGGGTGTAATACAAACAACAAAAATTAAAAAAGAAGTACATAGATAACTATTACAAAAAATGGAAAAGTCATTGTTCCATATGTATTCAAACCCTTTGCTATAGCAAGCCTAAATTATTTAGGTGCATGAAATTACCTTAACGAGCCAAACTTCTCATTGTGTTTGCAGATAAAAATAATTAAGACTCAGACTAGAAATAGAACTTTTTAAGCTAAATACAAGATGTTAACTCTGACGCAAGCCCAACATAGTGCATCACTCAGTGAACATCTTCCCATTTGTCAGCATGGTGGTGGCAACACTAGGTAACAGCTCTGCTTCTCATCAGCGGGGACTAGGAAGCCTGTCAACACTGATGGGAACATAGATGGAGAAAAGTACTAGCAAATCATAGAGGAAAACCTGCTTCAGATCTAAAACTGGGACAACAATTCACCTTTCAGCAGGAAAATGATTCAAAGTACAAGATCAAAGTTACAGTGGAGTGGCTTGAGAATAAGACTGTCCTTCAGTGGCCCAGTAAAAGTCCTGACTTGAGTCCTTTGAGATTATGTGGAAAGACTTGAAAACTGCTGTCCATAAGCAATTTAAAGCTTGAGTAAATCTGCATAGATGAATGGACAAAAATTGCATTACGTTGGTGTGTAGGGGTAGTAGACTTACACAAAAAAGATTTGCAGTCATAACTGCTTCTAAGGGTGCTTCTTTCAGATACCGAGTTTATGGATCGGAATACTTTTCCCATTGTATATTACCCTTAGAAGTCTTCTGTTGGAGCACTCAGGTTTTGAGCAAAATATTATGCATCGTTTTGTGATTTTATTATTTTTTAGGTAGGGACTGAAATATTTCTCCAAGGCACTGCCGCATATATTCTAAAAGTGATTTTGCAATATAATTTTTTATTTAACGTTCTATGGCATTTCGTTATCAAGATACGAACAGAGAACATGACACACGCAGAGAGACAGGATTGCACATAGAACAGTTCTACACATTCCTTCTGTAAGAATTCCTTTGTGTAAAGTTATGAAATACCACTAAAGGCATTCTGTATGAAACCATGATAAAAATGTGCAAAATTATTATTACAGGATTATTATTATTACAGGAATACATTAAACAAACTATGCTTAGTCAAGACTAGAAGCAGTGTGAAACGTAATTTTAAAATCAGAATTCTTAACACTACTTCTGTTAAATATGTACTTGTTGCAGGCTTGTGCAATAAATCATTTATACACAGGAAAAAATATCCAGTCAAATCTCCAGCTGACTTGTTAATCTCTTGTATCAATTTTTGTATCAAGAGCAATATTTATGGAAATAGATAATGATCTGAAAAGAAAGGATTGTGGAAGAAAACAATGGTATCTGATGTGAAACAGGCTCAATACCATAATAACATTAGATGTGAGCATAATAGTAGTATTCCAGAAAAAGAACACAGAATCCTTATTCATCATACTTAGACATGGAGTGCATACACAAACAACCTCAAAAAGGATTATTAAAAGTATAAACCTAAAAACTAACAAAGATAATTTGACTGACATTTACACAGTTTAAATTTGAAGAATCACTGACCAATTATCAAGTGAGCTAAGACATACACCATAACTAATTATGAAGTATAAAGCACCAACATTTGCCTGTGATTCAAAGTGGAATTTTCAACACCATTTATGGGAACAATTTGGTCTTGATACGAAGTGGCTGTCAAATCCAAAGAAGAACTATTTTCATGCAATCTATGATTAAGTCATTAGAGTGTAATAAAAAACTGAGTCAACTACAGCCAGATGTCATGGTCTTGAGGCCTTTCGAACAACTTATTTTTATAGTTCTGTGCCAGTTCTCAAACTTGGCTTGAATGTGTATGTGCATAAAAAAAACATTCCAAAAAAAGAACTTTGATGCAGACACTAGCGAAATCGTATGCAAGACCATGCACACACAACCATGCAGAAGAAAAGGAAGGAAAAAATTCAAGGAACTGCATAAACACTTACCTCAAATTCCTTCAGCTTTTCCATTGTTACCAAACGCCTGGATGTATGACTGGAAAGTGTCTGCTCACAGTTGCTAATAAGTTTCAGGCAAGGGTGCTGGGGTATAATTTCTTCCTTGTATCTGGAAAACATAAAGCATCTGCATAATACAATTTGAAACACATACACCTGCCTTCTGTAGCTCTTCTAGTTACATGGGTCACTTCATGAGGCCTTACATTGTATAAACTGACATTTTTATAACCTTTTAAAATATTTCTGATATTTTGTATGCTATTTTAAAAACATTACTGCTGCCTGTTTTTAAGGAGTACACTCCTGTAAAGCACTCTAGAGTGTATACTAGTATTATAGGAAAAGGTTAATTGAAACCCTTGCTCAACAGATAAAAAGTGAAAGAATTAACAAAGGGGGACAATGATGTGATGTATGTATTGTGAAGATTTTCCAATGGTTGTTTATTCTGAAATAAAAAAAGAATTCTAGTGAAATTTGTGACTGTTAAACATGTTCATATCTGAATATTTTCTCTAAGCAATAAAGATGCTTCAAAATCATTTAAAAAATACTTTCACTGAAAGTAATTAAACACAAATCAGACAACAAATTAGTTTAATTTGTAAAGTGTTACTATCTTACCAATGATACAATACTTCCACACATGAAAGTAGGAAATCTACTCATAGTATATGTGTGGATGAACTATATCATGATGCTGATTATGAGCTATTCACAGAAATGTCCAACTTTAACAGACTCTTCTTCTAGTCAAGATATGAACACACAACATGTGCACAATACTTCTGAAAACCTAACTCAAACTACCAATTCAAATCTACTGCACAGATCTGAAGAATTCAGTTAAAAAATAACGTGCATTTATGCAATCTTCGTGCAGTAAAACAAACCACCATGCAGACCAGACTCTGACAATTTCTATTCCTATCATTAATTATAAGACTGGACCACGATCTATGAACAATCAAATCTACTGCACAGATGTGAAGAATTCAGTGAAAATAACGTGCATTTATGCAATCTTCGTGCAGTAAGACAACCCACCATGCAGACCAGGCTCTGACAATTTCTATTCCTATCATTAATTATAAGACTGAACCACGATCTATGAACAATCAAATTTACAGCACACCCATTTAAAACAGCACTAATAATGGACTTATTTTAAAATTAGAGTTCTAGTTATATCTCAACATACTAAGGTGATATCTGCTTTTTAAAACTACGGTGTTGGTTATACTGTAACTACTAGAAGTAGTTATTACAGGCATATTACAAGAATTCTTCTGACTTCAGATAAGTCTATATAAAGCAGTTGCCACAGGTGGTTACTAATTACTTCAAAACCAGACCAGCTGGGTGAGTTAATGTCCTGCTATTTCTTAACATAACACCTCCAATAGTGGTGAGGTGATAATGGTCAAACAGGCTTGACATTACCTCACTCTGGGTACCCTCTTGGTATTACTTTATAAGGATGCAAAATCTGGACAAGGCATGCAAGCGTTTCTTCATGAATTATTACATTCTACACTTCACCGGCTGTAAAAAACAAATTAGGGAAATCCTATCTTTTTGGACTCTTTGCTGCCAGTATCTATGGATAGATCTAATAAGGGGGTATTTCACTGGAACTAATTTATACAGATCATTAAAAAGTTTAAATTTTCGAGATATATTTAATGAAGATCTTGTTCACTTTAGTATTTTTCATCCTTAATTCTACATGTAAAAAAATGGGACAACTGAACCTGAGCAATCCTTCACACAGTTTTCTACAGTAGAAAATCATGCAAGACAATTTCTGAACAAAACCCAAATTCATTTCTGTTAGTGAAAAAACATCAGTCCCAAGTCACTGCCAAGTATGAACCTCTACAATTACTGTTGCTGCTTTTACTAACAAACTTTTTTAAATGGCATAATTTTGATCAGACAACACTATATTACATCTGCAAATAGTGATCTGATAAGTAATGGTTCAAGAACAGGTGTCTTAACAAATCAGTTTAGATTTTCCTGTGAGCTAAAGATACAGCTGTCTACCACATGAAGACAATTTCTATGTGAAATATTAAACATCCTTTTAATTTATGTTTAGCGCACTTAAAACGCCACAGTCACAGACAGATTTCAAAGAGATGGCATGTCAGTCCATACTTTACTGTGAATAAAGGATTTTTCTCCCTTTATTCAACAGCTGCACTGTTCAAAGAGAGAACCTCGGCATCACATTTCTCTGCACAATGTCCTAGAGTCCATCATACACAAGATTAGAAATGTAGAAGATTAGGATTTAAGGTGATTTTTAAAATGATGAAAAAGTAGACATTAGCTCAACAATGGATTTCTGTTCATATTGTTTTCTACGACTGTTTACCATTAAAAAGAAGCATGACAAAGGGGGTTCACAAACTCAACCTAAAATGATCCACCAGCTGTATTTTAAAATACCATTACTAGTAAATTATATACTGTGCACAACACCATCTTAAAACAATCTATAAACCTATTATTTTTATCCTTTTAAACCTCAGTCTTCATAAAGTGACAGGATTTACTTTAGTGATAATTTGGTTTATTTCGCAAAACACAGAGGAAATGAAACATCAGTGGTTGGAAAGAATAAATGTATAAAATGAATACAGATCAGAAAACAAAAAAGAAATTTACAAGCTTAAAAGCCACAGATTCTTTTAAAATAAAGAATGGTTAAGAGGGTCCGGAAACCAAATGCATTTGAACTATTTTAATTAGATATCCACATCATATTACATCATCTCTGGTTAGAAACTGCCTCTGTCCAATATAAACTGTAATGCTATGGGAAGTAAGTCAAATGGTTTAATTTTATACCATAAAATCGCACAAATGCTGGTCTGTGTAATTCAAAAAGCACAGAACTTTATAATTCTATAACAAATGCCACTGTTTGTAAATATTGCTACACACTTTCCAGAGGTTCAGCCTGTCAAGGAAACTTGGCCATGAACCAAGCGTTTGTGGATTCTGTGTTTTATGGTGACAGACTCCCTCTGGTGGTGAACACTGTTCCAATGACTATACAGTAGGGCAAGGTGTCCCAAGTCCTGGTTCTGGGGGGGGACCCGTGTCTGCTGCAAATTTCCATCCATCGTAGCTAAATTAAATTAAATTAAATAATTAGCTCAAATAACGAAGTCACAAAACTCAGGAATAAAAAACCCTGCATCATGGAAAACAGTTACATTTTCTAGATTTCAGGGCACCTCAAATTGATGTTCCAAACATATATGGGGTTTGTTTAGTTTGCCCACTTCTAAACAAGTGGGCAATTAATTATTAATTAGTTGTGAGCAACTAATTAATAAAACTTTTTTAAAATAACTTTTAATCATCAACTTCATAAACAAAGATATAGAATGGGCAATATCTGTTATTGAATTAAGCATTCAATGAATGATGCCATTAATATTTTGAGTAAGTAACTCACACAGCTCTGCAAAAGTGTAAATTAGGTTCTTCTAGTTACTGGTATTGATGGCAAATGTATACAATCTTTTTAATAGCCCTCAGATGTTTGTTTATTGCAACTTGAGAGAATTAATCAGCCAATGCATAACAAGGTCCTCTTTTTAATTACAATCTGTTTGCACTAAACACTATGAGCACAGAAAAAGCAGCTCTGTGCACATAAAAATACTTAGAAATCTTTGATGCAAGAAAACCAAGATACTATCTCTCCTTAAGCAAAAATCTAATTCAGTCAGTTAGGGTCGATAGAATGAATTAAAATAGATTAAAATACATAAAAGGTAAAACACAGTGCTTTGAGCACTGCAGGTAGTCATTGTGTCTTATTGGACATCAGACAGACTTAATTAGTGGCAGACGGCTACAGAGTTACCACGTAAAATACCTTATAACCTCAGAGCCTCCTATCCGTACAGGAATAGTTTCAAGTACTTCCTCGGTAGCTATAAAAATACCCACCGCTAAAGAATTTTATGATAATGACTCATTCCAGACAGGCAGGCAGGCTGCAGTTTGCTCTAATCTAGATTCCCACGAAGCTAAAGGATGACACAAAAAACATTAAAGGAATTCAGATCCACCATCACTTTAAAGTCAAGTTTCAAATAAGCTCTTTCAGTCTTTGACATTTTCTTTCATTAAGAGATTTTATCTCCCGAGTTCAGTACAGCAGACCTCCTTTATTTCATCAGAAACACACGCAATCCCACTGAAAAATATACTTGAACCCGATATAATTTAAAATGAAATATGTTTAGTTAAATTGTATTACCCTCTTCTATGAAAATGTAGTGCTTTAATATTTTTTTCTAGTTTTGTATCAGATTAAAGAAAGTCATGGTGAGGCATACAGGTTAAATTAGGTACTTTTTTCTCTTGTGTCCCCATGTAATCAGGATAGCAATTCTGAAATCATAATAATACAATTTAATTTATGAACACTTTTCAGTTTAATTTATTAATGCATTTGCAAGGTCTGACTGAGTTTGACTGTAAAAAGTAATATTTAATTATTGTTGAGCACTTGCAAATTGCTTTCTCATCAAAATTGCAATTTTCTTAGTGGAAGGTGTAAGTGATCACTATTATTTCCACAAATTAAAGAATTAAGTTAAAAAAATTAAAATCCTTATTGTTATAGGGTAGTAAATAAAGTATGTCTTAAACTAAAAAGCCAGGAATTTCCTAAAATTCTAAACTAAATTTAGCTCTAAGGTGAGTGCTTTTGTAATAGTATGTCTTACTGTTTTGAGTCATACGGTTGTATGAATCAACCATTAATGAATCAACCCACAGAGGTGTATTACAGTAGATCAAATTTAGTCCTCAAGATTTTTCCTCCACCTGAGCTCTTCATTTCTTAATTGAAATATTTAATTTTAAACATTCTCGGGTTTTAGGAGGTAATATATTGGAGACCCCAATTAAATGATGTTTCATCCTACAGAATCCGAGTCGAAGCATACTGCCCAACCATTTCAAATCAGATATTCAGAATAAGGCCTCTACATCATGCTGGTCTTGAACAATTCAATTTGGGTTAGGACTAGAATATACAGTTAAACAGTAATAGAATGCCTAAAAATGATAAATAAAAATCTTATTATCCCAAAATAAATTCAACATTGTATAATTGACAGGGCTGAAGCTTTTTGCAGCCACGCCCCCTAATCTTCCCTTTGCATGTGAGTGAGAGAAGCAGCGGCTGTGAGGAATGGCTGCCAGCTTGAAACCCCCCATCTTGTGAGCTATTTGATAACATTGTTAAATACAAAGCTCAACTATCCCGAACCAGCAAAAACAGCAAATCACAATTTGCGATGGGCCCTTTTAACTACATAATATAGCATAATAGATATTTAAAATGTTCCAGGTTGTTCCAGATATGAGCCCTGGTGAATATTTGTGGAAAGAGCTAGGAAATGCTTATAAGAAGTACTGCATCTAGTACTCAAAGATCAGTGATCTATCAAAGCCATACATTTTTATTCATTTAATTCTTACCACCCTCTCTCCTTTTTACATTCCTGAAGAAGGCTTCATACATGAAACATCGTGAAATACCTGTGAAATATTATATAAAATGTAAATTCAGTCCATTTCAAACACTCCTGTTTTATTTGCCTTGTCTGACACAAGTGCTGCTGCTGTGGGAAGCAATTTCACTTTAAGCCATCACAAAGACATACTTGGGATGTTCCAATTGATCAAAGCATCATTCATGTAAAGATACACATACATTATCAGAAAGCTGCTTATTCCTGGAAAAAATCAGAGCAACTTGAAGCCTATCCTGGAAGCACAGGACACAAGGTGCGACTACCCAGACACACACAAAAGCACAAAAGGAAAATTTAGAGATTATCCAGCTAGCATGTCTCCTATCTCCCATCTTCACCAAATCACATATGGGGAGAACAAACAAACTCAATAAAAGAGCCAAGAGCCACAAAGAAAGAGTAGCTCCCAAGCTAGATTAAAAATCACAGAATCCTAACGTTCCTTATTACCAGAGGGGCTGTCTGTGGAAGATAGCTTTTTAAGATTTAAACAAAACCGGTAATAAATCAAGATTCTCTGTGCCCAGCAATGTGCTGAAATCTGCAAAAAAGAGTACAAAGATCACAAAGCTGGTTTTGCTATATAATTGTCTAAAAAAACAGAACACAAATATTTACTGCAAGTCCAAGATTTCTTGTCTAAAAAATCAAAAAGCTGTAAAAGGTGATTTTGCTGCATCCACTGTATTGTATATCTACACAATCTAAAACACTATTGAAGAATACCCGTGGGCCACCCAGCTTTCAAAACCACAAAAGAAATACTAAGGGGTGAAATTAGTTTCAGTGAGCTTCATCAAACATCTGCAGCAAAAATAAAATTAAAGAAATTCTATAGTTTCTCCAACATATTTGTAGAAAGTCTAAATGATTTAAACAAATCAATGCAGTTCCCAAAACAATACTCAACTCAAACTAGCATTTTTCAAAACAATTCTGAAGTCAAAAGATTTCAAATTTATGTGCAAACTGATATATTTATATAAAATTATGATGCAACCTTGCATGTCACTGAAACCATGCAGGTCTTAATATGTATTGATATACCAAACATTTTAATGAGTTACACACATTAAAACCAGTTCCTATGTTCACAGCATATATTACCAAACCAGCATTTCTGCAGCTTCTATACTGTAGTATGTTAAATTATGTACTTCACTAGAACTTCTTAAATGGCGCTAGACTGAGTGTTAAACAAATTCAATTAATACAAAAATACTGAAAATTACACTTTAGCAACTTTCCTGATAATTAGTAATATCATTAATAACCTTAAAATACAAATGCAACAAAAAAAGTAATGTATGATTAGCACACCTGCTGTAAAATAAAGGGCGATAAATCTGTTTTGCTTGAGATATAAAAAGCAATTTTGCTGTGCAAGATCTCATTTCACACAGCTTGAAAACTGGCAGAGACAGAACATTTTCATAAAGGGAATTAGTAGACATTTAGTATACTGTTATTTTTTATTATAGCAACATACAAATTATATTGTATCTGGAAATGATATGCAATATTATACCAGTGACTCACAAATATGCATAGCTTACTGATAATGTTTAATTATTCATTTAAACAGACACACAGATTAACCTGTTGTCACTTTAGATGTTGCGGTACTGTACAACTAGCTACTAGTCTATATATATGTAGAGAGCACATTTTTGAAAATTTCTAATAGCAGAAATGGCATAAAGGCTACATGGCTAATTCCAACCAAAGCCCTTCATTTAGTCTGTAATGCAATTTTGTGGACTTTAGATTATAGTTCAGATATGTAAATCATAAAAATGTAATCAGAAATCATAAAAAGATCAGTATTATAGTATTAGTATTCTGTGAAGTTTAGCTGATCAGATGTTGTGCTTTTGTGCAACAGTGGCAACACCATGTTTTTCATATCGGCAGCAGCTAAAAATGGAAGTGTAAAAATGAGTCTGAGGACCGCCTACTTTTCTGCATACCTAGAGGGAGGAGCTGGGTTTGAATACGCGTCGAAACAAATTGCTGACTAGATAGCACAGGTATTACTCTGGGCATAATATTGTGCCAATTTAAGTTAATTCACAATTCAGTTTTAGAGCCCGAAAAAAGTTTCTGCTTGCTACGAAATTCCAAGATGTCTATAAGGCTAAAAACAAACAACAATTTGAATAAAAAGCCTGTTAATCTACAACAAGTTAAGAAGTGTTTAATTCAATCAAAATTTAACAAACTTACTCTGGCCTATACACTGGCAACCAGTAGACTAATCTTCCGTTGATCACAAGGTGTTTAGCAGCAAAGTTCAACAGGTCTGTGAAGATATCGCTGAGGTGGTAGGCCATGGACACAGGGACATGACTTTCTCCATTACTGAAAATGTAATATAGTTATATTATTATTCTGGTTAAACATTAATATTAAAGAAGATTAATACAAATCTACAACACTCATATGAACAATATTAAATAACTATTTTGAACCAATGTGTATACATTACATTTATTGATAAAAAATAATGTTATACAAATCAAATATGAACCTCTAAATTCTATTATTTAGAATCTGCCCTTTTTCCCTATGGAACAGTTTTATTTCCTTGATAAATTATAGACGGATTATAGTAATAGTCCTGCTAAAATCCCTGAACAAAGTATAGGGGGAAATTTCAGTACAAAAATATGTCAGAATGGTAGTTTTAGGAAGAACTTACAAATCTTCTGGTGGTTTTATCATTTCTTTCTGGGAACCTGTTTTCCTTGTAGATTCTCTTATACCATATGGGGCTGAGATGGAGAAAGCAAAAAAAGTTTTCATTCTTTCTAGATCTGCAAATGAAAATAGAGGTTGTTTTTCCCCTATTTTACAGGATTAGTGCCATAAGTACAGTCAATTGAGCAGTGTATAAATGTAAATCAATTGCAAGCAGAAAACATGACAACAAAAGAGGACAACAAAACAGTGCTGATGTGGAGGTAGTTAAGTGACAGTCAAGCAGTAATGTGTGACGAGATGTGTTAGGAAGCTCATTGTAATGTATGGTCAAACACTATATTCATGTAGTTACGCTTGTGATTCAAAACTGATCCAAACTAATTCCAGAAATACTTTGACTCAGTGAGAGAATTACAGCTCTGAGTAAGTAAAGCATGCTCTGGTTTGATATGCAAAGAAAGTTGAACTGTACTAGTTCACGTTCAGGTTTTTAATGATGCTGTACTGTCTCTATATTTACTGACTTTGGATATATGACTGAATTTATGACTGTCCCATTTGCAATTCAAAATTAGTCATCTCTTCTCTGTTTTTTAAATAGAAAACATAATTGACTGTACTTTATATTTTAAAGTACAGTATATCACTCGGCAATAAAAAAAACTGAATTGCATGTGTTGCAGTAGAATCAGAGGCAATTTCAACATTTCTTCTTAGAAAAGAATTGAACATATATTACAGCAATACTGCGGTCATAGACATTCTGACTGAGGAGAATTATTAGGTATTGCTCTCAGAGACCATGCTTAGGGGCATCTGTGAAAGCAAATATCATAAGAGAATACTAAAAAATATTGGTAAGGATAGTAAGTGTTAAAAAATGAAGAATATCCAGATGCGAAGCTTTTACCCTTTCAGCTAAAAAGACCTGGAGCTGTGCAGAGAAATCTAATGTACTGTATAAGACTACCAAGTAGCTCCATGAGTGAAGCAAAACTAAAGCTTAAAAGTGAAAAGTGGATGAGACTGGCTCGTGATGTGAGATAATAAACATACGATCTGTGATGATGGCGTCGAACAGACTTCCAGTTCTCCACACATTTTTGGATGCATCCGACACAAGAACGTCAACGTAAGATTTCTCTGCACCATATTGTCTTAGGTTAGCTCTGATGTTTTCATCGGGTCCCCTCCACTTTTGATTCTTCCTGCTTGCTTTCCCTGCAAATGAATTACAAAAAAGTTAAAGACATTAATCATCTTGAAAAAACCTAGCATGAATATTCCAACAATTTAGCTTTTGTTCCACATTTACTCAAACCAAATATACATTGCAAAATAGTAAACATAGCCTTGTCTGATAAAACACAGCTGTGCTCCAACTCCTAGAGTGAATGAAATAATACCATGCCAGGTTTTAAAAACAGGTTCAAATCAGGCCATAGTCTTTTTTTTCCTCAGACACTTCATAGTACCCTCCTAACTGTACTTAACTTAATAAAAATCTCATAAATAAGAAAATGACTTTACTTGAGATGACCTTTTGTTAAATTAATGGCGGTAAGAATCTTTGCATCCAATGTCTGATTTGTTTTCTCAAAAACCTTATAATGTTATAAGGAAAATAAATTACAGTATATTATAAAGAATAACCAATAATCTTTGAATTTCATATCATACCTATTCCATGTATTGTGTTGTAATCAATGTCTGTACCGCATACATATGATCCAAAATGTGCACATGCAACAAGAAGGCTACCTGGAAAAGAAGCAAAATCAGTAGAGTGAAGGATAAAGGCACCATTAGGCCTGACTGATGCTATTGTCATGTTATTGGCACACAACACAAAGATGCACACATGCATTCTGGTTGTTCAAAAGGATTTTTTAACACTGATTCAGCCTATAAATTAGTACATCTGGACAGCATATTCTATACTCATTTGTGTTTAATTTCATATTATAACTCCTGATAAAAGACACGTTCATGACTGAAAGGTCAAAGAGGAGTTGGAAAGAAAACAATATTTCTGCTCTCTAAACATATTGAACACAGCAAACACAGACCATATGAAGAAAAGGTTTTTTGGAATATACAGAGTTTATTATGATCAATCACAAGAAAGGGCAAATTTCTAACTCAAAGGGCTCTTAAAGGAGAACAAATGATTCAAAAAGGTGATTCTTTTGAATGCTGTCACTTTAAAATAAAACATTTTGCACCACACTAAGTCTAAGGCACATACTTTTTCAAATTAAACAGTTGACTTAAGAATAGTACCTGTTCCAACAAATGGATCAAAGACCAAGTCGTTGGCCTTTACTTTGCCATGGTTAGCCATTATAAAGGACAACCCAGCATCCATGCTTGTGTTACCAATGAAATGGCGTTTCTTCACACTGAAAGACCTTATCAAATCTCTCTGACCATCTGCAATCTAAATAAGGGTGACAAGAGCCATAAAGATCAACAACAAGGTGTTCTAAATTCTTAATAAATATGACTTCACTTATTCTCTCATATGCATGTAGAAAAAAAGTAAGCTATTATTACAATACCATAAAATAAAAGAAAAGACCACAAATTCTCATCTATAATTCAGTCTTTGCTTTATTTCCCATCAAATGAAACACAGTATGTTTGAGTAGCTGTGTCAGCATGCGTTGCCTGCAAAGGAACAAGTAAAGGTTTAATTCCACACTGACAAATAGAAAAGAGGAACACAACGGTTTGGCTGTTGAGGCTTTTTCAGGCGTTGCCTTTCTCCTTTCTATTTTTCAAAGTGGAATTAAATAAAGTACAGCAGAAGGTACAAACTACATGACAGTCTTTTTACTGCTACTGAATACTGATATTTTAAAGTATAATTCAATTTTAAAGCATAATTAAACATGACACAGAGTTGCAGTTAAAAAGCCATTTCCTTATTTTTTAAATAAGGACATGGCAAAACAATAAAATTAAAAACTGGAATATACTGCTCTTAGATCAATTTGATTAAAATGAAGCTTATAATCAAAGACAAATCATGTGAAAAAAGCTTTTATTGCATTCCTTTATTTTTAAGAGTTTTATTTTATGAAATGTTTCAATTACTCAGAACTGCCTCATTTATCCATCGGAAATAATAACAAAGCAACATCTGAAATAATAACAAGAACTATTATTAACAGTGACAGCCAGCTGTTGACCATTCAAAGCTGAGGCAGGGTTCTCCCAAAAGAATATAATAATGGTGTTGAACTATCATATAAGCTTTCAAACTAGTAGTCTTACATCCTGACAATGTTATTTGAGGTAGCTGAAATAGTTATTTATCGCACTAGAGAGTAGGAAATGACTTTTCTGCATTTCAAAAATGTAACAGAATGCAAATAAATACTTCTGTTTTCCCTCAGGACCACCCTCCCCAACCCTGCTGTCGCACTCTTCTCAAGATGCAGTAACACTTTATTCATTATTCAATTACAGCACTGAACCTCTGGAACATTTTCCTGTCATCACTCTTATAGATCATAGTCTGCAATGCAGTAAGTTTGTTAATGTGACAACAGCAGACCAAGTAATAAGGACTGCTTAGAAAACCCTAGTTGTATTTAATTCATCTTGGTGAAACCACTACAGTCAGAGTACATTAAAGTCAAGTAAACTGCCACTTCAGTTAGAAGGTCAGTATAATTCAGTTTCCTGCTAACCCTTATTGTGAAAACAGTTCAATAGCAATTTTGAAATAGCTTTTGAAGGCTTTTCTCAAAACATGTTAAAAGGTCACTATAGCTAGTGTTTGCCTATACTGTAAATGTGTGAGAAGGCAAATTTCTGGTCTACTGTACATTTTCAAGAAAGTTATTGTCAGAAAATTAAAGACAAAATTAATTTGATTCAATTGTAATATTTTCCAGTAAAATGAAAAAAACTTGTCAATACAAAATTAATATTTATAATCAAAGTAATAAGAATAGCAAATACCTTAAAAAAAGCTTTATCTTGCACTTCATTAACTTAATACGTTTAAATAATGGCACTGCACACAGATTGATTACATACCCATCTCCCAAAGTAAACGTAAAAGGGATCTTCTGGAATTCTATTGGGATCAGAGCCATAGTTTTCTAGCAGACAGAACACATGATCAGGGTTCTTCAAGTTTACTTTCCCAGAAAATGGCAGGAACTCTAGGGTCTTAAGAAGCAAAATTAAATCAATTAAAGATGATTTAATATTTTTAAAACAAAATCCTAAATTGTAGCATATAAATATAATGTTGTAAAGTAAGGCTACTCTTGCAGCCCTTCCAATCTGCCCCACTGGAAGAGTTTGGAAAGACATGCTTCTTATGTAATAATTGTGAGTATCAATATAGCAATTGATGTGATTGCTGCATTAATGTATTGCAATGGGGTGTATTGATAGGGCTGCATGTTGAATAGTTTGTAATTTAAAGTAATTATCTGATTGAAAGGACCTTTATTAGTGTAGTCATCTTTGTATTACTAATATAACTGGTTGACATTCCATTAATATACCTAGCTGCAGATGCCAGGGTACCCACTAAGACTTAAATGTACAGTTGTAAAACATTAATTTTATTAGCTAATGCATATTTTAATTTAATTCAGTGGTGAAAAAAGAAGATAAAACTGTATTTTCCACAACCACATTTTTCCACAGCCAAGTAAACATGCATACTTAAGCTTTATCATAATATTTTACAAACTTACATCTATCTTCTGGATTCTCTCTTGATGAAGCACCGTTTTGTTGAATGTGTAAACATTAATTTTATACGTTGAGTCTGACTTGAGATAAGGTACCTAAAAAATACAGTTATGTTCAGTACATTATTTCATACTGTTTAGATAATACCTGCAAAAATGACTGTTCTGCATACCATATTTTCTGTTGGATAATTCTTTAGAGACAACTGTAATTCCTGGTGTGTTCTTCCATGGCCCCATAGTTCAAACACTGACCTGCATGTCAAGAAAAATAAACAGCACCGATATCTGTGTTAACTGCAGTTTCAAGTGATAAATTCCTCCAAATTGCTCCAAGGGAGCAAATACAGGTAGCATGCACAGCATTAGTAGGATATTCGTGTTCTTTACATGTTTTTAATAAACTTTTTAAATAAAAGTTAATAAATATTAATTCAAGCAAGAGTGAAATAAACTGTCACAGATAACTAAGAGAAAGAATGATTTGTTAGCAACATGTGGCTTCATCCTACGTAAATATACCTGTATTACTAAATACAGGTATAAATACTAAACCAAACAAGCTAGATGGGCTACTTGTCTTCCTCTTATTTGCAAGGTCTCGTGTTTTTATGCTTCGTATTACGGGTTATGAACTACTTACTTTGCACACACAGTTCGTTTCATAACATTTCGCACATCTTCCTCCGAAACATTGCTGAGAACCCAGAATGGAGACTGAAACAAATCATTTAGGTTTTGATAACATTCTGTTTGCATGACAGAGTGGACATTTTCTGCTCTGTGCCTCAGTGGAAATTAAAGACAGAAAACTGCAGTAGGTTAATCTGATAGGCCACTTTGCTTCATCTCCACAAATAAGTTCATATGTGGCTAATATATATAAATGCAAACAAAAAGATATGAAAGATATGATCATTAAGAATTTTCGTTATATTCATAAACCACTGTAGGTTAATGATTTACTGCAGTTTGTTAAATTAACCTACAGTTTATTCACAATATGAATGCAGAGAATCCCCTTCTCCCACATTAAAAAACATATCAGATGAAGATGTTTGTCCTAACATTTAAGCAGTATTGCTGGTTACTTCGGCTTGATTACAAAGAATCACCAAAAAGTAGCCCTACTATTTTGAATCATGTTAAAACATATTTTTAAAAATACATTTAATTCAATAATGTCACACATGAGGAAAACTGCAAGAATTCCAGGCAGGTAGTAGTGGAGGTTTTTTATATTTATTAAAATAAACAAGGAGCAAACATCTAGATGCTAGGAACAGGGATGTTAGAAATCATACTTATTACTATCATGAAGTGTGAACTAGTATCCAATCCTATATTATTAATGTTCAGGACTGGTGAACAACAATGTCCGTGATACCTTTTCACTTGATTGTTTTTATATTCTTTGGTATATTACCACAATTCACTTTACCATAACCAGAAAGCATTCCAAATAAAGAGCAGACAAAGAATGAAGGCATTTGAAAGAAAAGCCAAGCAATGCAGCAATTTTACAGCAAATAATAAAAAAGGCAGCATGCGGTTTTCTTTCTATGAATCATACAATCATAGAACAGCAATGCTTTACACTCAGTCTCACACATCGGTATGTTGTTTTCTCAGCTCTGTATGGTTCATCCAGTGATAACCAAACAAAGAATCTGATGTCCCAGAACACAGATTTTCCTCATTTTAGTCAGTAATATATGATGACCAAGTTCATCACATTTATTAGAGCTCAGGTATTACAGGAAAAATAAGAAACATACCTTTTCATCAAAATGTTCGTCCGGAGTAAACTGCACACCACTGAGTGAAAGTAATGCCTTGATTTCCTGAAAAACGGAAACTTATAGTTTGGAAATTATTTGCATTCATCATAAATCCTAATATTTACAAAACTATAATGAGGCTGTCAGACAGTTTCAGAATAAAACTCAAGAGTCACAAGATACACTACGTAATTTATTTACAAAATTGTGAAATAATAAAGCCGTTCTACTGTAATTACAACTACTTAGACCTATGTCTAGAGAGATTTAAAGTAGATTACTTAGTACACTGCTTCCAATGAAATTGCGGTTTAAACAGTTAGCCTCGATAACTGGCTCCTACAGGTTCATAATTTAAGATTATTTAAGATTATACCCTTTATACCAGTATCTATTGATTTAGCCATCTTTAGCTATGTAATAAAAAAAAACTGTAGAGCCAGGAAAAATAGTAATACTTTTCAGAAAACTTTTTAAAAGTGCTTTAAAAACGTAATTTCTTTTTACATACCGGTAATCTGAATTCAACATTTTCTTGTGCTAAATGTAATAAATATTTCCTACACGTTCGGCTACAGTGGAGCGCCATTTTTGTATTCCCTCTCAAATTATATTCCGCAGGAAATAGACTCCACTTCAAAGTTAGTTCCTATCCCGAATAATGCACCCTTCGTAAGCGATTAAATTTTACACTACATAGACATAACAGTGTGAAAAAAATAAAACGCAATGTATTTTTCATTTCCTGTATAAAAATCATACAACTAAACCTCCGAATACATACATATATATGTGTATCAGTTGACGCAAAGCACGGCTTAAAATCATAGGATTTACATTTTATCAAATAGAAATGATAGGCTGTTTAAAGGAGAAGCATCATTAAATGTATCTGACATACATAGAATGATTTCGATACTAAATTAGTTTTAATACACTGTTGCATCATAAACAATTACAGATTTCTACAGCTTTATTTTAAAGAAACACTATTATGTGTTCGTGTCCACGTGGAAATTGATTGGATTGCGATCACGCTGCTAACAGTGGTTGAAGATGTGATTGGATGTTCCACCCATCAGCTTTGTGGTCAAAGGTCAGAAAGTATCCCTGGCTTTAAATCCGCTTTGAAACGTACAAACGTTGAACGGAGAAGCGACTCCGATGCAGGTAAATAACCATATGTTATGGTAGAATTATTAGGTACATTCATTTAATCATTAAAAGATTAATTTATCCTATATTTTAAAAGTTTAGGTAAATGTAAATAGACTAAATTTCGGATGCAATATATTGACGAATTTCGTTTTTTATATATATACGTAACCATGTATATTAAATATTAACTTTTCCTTTGTAATTATTAGTGCATAATCGGACAAACCTTACAAGCATGAAATAAGTAAATATATGCTTAAATATAAATATGTTTAAGATATAATACTTAAGAACAATAAGCCATATATTGCGAATGATGAAACCTAAGAGAAAATAAATCCATTTTAGAAGGACTTATAATACATTACAGTATATATTTTTTAAAATATTTGATACATTTTCTATGTTCCCACAGAATCCTAATATCCATGTGATGAAACAAGAGCCTATACATAGTTTTTTTTTTTTTAACTTAAAGGTATCCCAGAAACAAGAGATGGAGAAAGATGATCCCAATGATCATGGTAACCTTGGGAAGGAGATATGTGTCAGCACTGTTGAAGGATTAAAGTTGAGCTGGCAGAGGTGGTCGAATGATCACTCAGAGTACCAGAAACACAATCCCTTCAGTACCAACAGGACATTGATGGTAAAAATTCAGAAAGGAGAGGAGAGCTATGGGAGACCTAAGGAAGGATCTAAGACTGAGCAGAGAGGAAAGGATGCCCACACCCATATTGGAAAAGAGGTGCAAGAACTTTGCTCCATTATCAAAAGCATTGGAGAAAGCAGAGAGGATGGTAAAACCGTGGTAGAGTTTGGGAAGCTATTTGAGAAATATGTGACTATTTCCAACAAAGTTGTTGGGGTCTTGCTGAGGGCTCGAAGACAGGGACTGGTTGCCTTCGAAGGAGAGATGTTGTGGCAAGGAAGAGACGACTTTGTCCTCATCACACTGCTTCATTAAAGAGAGTCCAGGCTTGGGAATGGGAAAGGAGATATCATGTTTGAAGCTAAACTAACGTATGAACAGATTGTATTCAATCCTGGTAATGTAAGTTTTGATGTCAATAATAAAATATTTTCTTTTCACAATTCTCAATGGGATAGAAGGACATAAAATATCATTTGGAGTGAAGCTCAGTGTTAAGTCCTCCTCTTTGAAAAACTTAAAAAATCAAAACAGTTACAAAATCTAGGTACTGTTTGGACACTATAATGTAGTTTTACAGTGAAGATTTGCACCCCTTTCCTAAATTTTATGAGCCAAACAATCTCACGAGTGACATGTATTAATTAATATAAATGTACTAATTGCACTGAAAACACAAATATATAGCCTTTAGTCACAACAATATAACCGTTTCTTAAACTTAACTTAAAAATATTTTATTTTGAAAGTAAAAATTTAGAACTTCCATCCTAGTTTGAACACAATATAGTTCCTAGTTACTTAAGGGAAAAATAAAGAAGTCTCACAGGGTTCACCAACTACTATTGTGTATGCAGCTCCTTCACAAAAGTAAATGCTATTCACACTCAGCAATTGAAAATATTCTGTTGAAACATTGTAATTTATAATTGAAATGCAAAATTCAGAAGAACAAGGTTATTGTTCTTTGTTCTTCCAGATAATGATAACTGAATATTGGCACATCCACAAGACACCATGCAGTGCAATTTACTTGTAAATATGAACTCAATATGTGATACATTATCAAACTTTCATGCAAGTTCAGATGAGTTGAAAATGATCAAGCCTCTACTCATTTGCACACAGAGATACATATACTGTAGTTCTATCCCCTTAACATATGCCGAATTCCAAGTATCTCGCATCCAATTTGGCCGAATGAGTGCTACAGCCTAGAAGCATCGATTAAGAATCCAAATCTTTTAGTTACCATCCGAGGTTGAGATCACACTGTTAAAGGAAGCACTTGTCTTTAAAAAATACATCCACAAGGGCAAGTATGTCTGTGGGGTGTGGTATAAAAATAAAATAAAATATATTCATATATCTAAAATATATATATGTATTTTATAATTATAAATATATAAAAATTGTGACTTTAAAACTGTAGTATTATAGAGGAAAATCATTGGCCATTCCATATAGTTTTATGAATGTAAAAAATGCATAATGAAAACTGCATTTACTGGGAACTATTAATTGAATCAAATGGCTTTACAAAACAACAATCCTTTGCAATTAAAAACTCACAACAATAAACTATCTTACCTTTTAAGGGTCAGTACACTTCTCAAAGTTATAGCATGTTCTTTGGAAAGTAGTCACTTTACTTAATAATTTATTTCTGATGCAGTTGTACACTTTTCTTTAGTTTGAAATTTAGATTATAAGCAATTTATTTAAATGAGTGTATTTGTGTGTTTTTGAATAATTTAGACAGAAAAAGATTTCTATATATTTCACTAAGGTAGTTGTGCATAATGGTTTATGCTTGTTCTAGTGTGATATTAACATATATTCCATATGTGGTTTTATGTCCAGATTAAATACATGCAAATAATTTAGAAAAAATGAGTTTCATTGTCATGTGGAAATATTTTATAGAGTCCCTATTACCTATTGAAATTGTAACACTTTACAGTAACAGAAAGGTCTATGGAGACATACAGAATCTGAGCTTTAGGGTAATGCACTGTGGTTATTCTTGCTGTTATTGTTACCATGGAATTAGATTTGTATGAAAATAAAAATATTGTAATTACAAAAACATACTTATTGAGTGTGCTGTGTTTGTTGAACTGAGTTTTTGTAACTGTTGAAGTTACAAAAGAGAATTTATGTAAGAATTTGTGTTGAGAATTGACCAACTGCTCCTAGTATGACCGAAGTCATATAAAAAGATGCATTAGTTCCACAATCTGAAAAATTATCTGGAAAATGTTCAGAACGGAGCTTGTTCCTGGTTGTCACATCTATAAAGACGGAGGGTTACAACATACCATGGCTGTGATATTTGAAAGCAACAGCATGAAATACCTCATTCTCAACCATTTAAAAATGTTATAATTTTTTAGGGCAAAGCAGTATCTTAGGGAGTGACAAAGAGATGGGTAAACTGTCATGGGAAAGGATGATTGTCATTTTGTCTTTTATAAACAATGGGGGCAGCTTGGTGGAGCAGCTTTTAGTATTGCTACCTCACAGCACTGGGGCTCTGGGTTTAATTCCCGGGTGCTTTCTGCTACTGTACTGTATATGTACGTTCTCCCCATCTTTGTGTGAGTTTCCTCCCACAGTCCAAAGACATACTCTAAGTTTAATTGGGTTCTGGGAAAATTGACCCTCTACAATGAACTGGCATTCTGTTCAGGGTGTACCCTGCCTTGTGCTGCTTGTTTGCCAAGATAGGCTCTGGTTCATTTGTAACCCTGTATTGGATAACGTGGTTAGAAAATGAGTTTGTTAGAAGATTCCATCACCCAAATAAATAAATAAAAAAACAGAAAATCAGTTTTTATTGTTTTCATTCTGCATCTTAGAGAACAAATCATGAAATGCTTAACAAAACATTAAGTGACCAATAGTAATTAAAAATTAATTTCAAACCTATTGATAGTGCTATAGAACATATCTGGTAAAATCAAATTATATCTTGTGTTAGTTTGATTGTGAATAAATAAATTTGTAGTGTAAGTCACATTACCTTCCGTTACTAAAACTGAATAAAATAGATGGTTTCAGACCTGTGGAGGGACATAGTGTATCAACCAATCATTTGTATGATTGCTAGTCTTTTGAAAAGCACAAATTCTAAAATATAAATATAAATTCACAAATAAGCTATGAGATGTAGTGAGAACTAGCTGTTGTGTGCGCACAATTTACTAGTAAAACAATTTGTATTTACTGTACTAGCAAAACAATTTGTTAGCGAACACATTCTACTATGAATGTCACACTGTATGAGTGAACCTTTGAAAAATTACTATTTTCAAATTTCTAGTAAACAAAACTTCAAACTGTTGAACACATACATAGAAACACCACATTAAAAATAAAAAAATAAAATATATTAAAATACTCAACAGATCAACTGTTTAACAGCAAGCTTATACAAAGAGAAAGCTTTGTAATGCAGTACCAAGAAACAGATTTAATTTTTTTTCTAGTTCTGAAACATTGTCATATTGAGTACGTCCAGTTAAGGACAAATTAGTTTTGAATAGTTCGAGATACTAGTCACAGTTTATTAATGTGCATGTCATTTTCAAGAAGTCTATAAGCAATACAGATGCTTTTCTAAAGTCCAGCCCTAAACTGCAGTTCCATGAGCAAATAAAGAAAATTGAGCTTCATGTGTTTTCATTGAAGGAATTCAGCCGTTGTAAGAGCTGCTCAGCCTGTTGAAAAAAAAAAAGATTATAAAGTGAATTCTGGTAGAATTACCACCATTGTCCACATTAGTTTTTCACTGCACATAACATGTAAACATTTAGCTACAATAGGGCAAAACTATGCACATCATATTCCTCTTCAACAAAAAAAGAGTCATAAAGATATCTTTCTTACATAGCAATAATAAGGATCTCAGGAGCTAAAGTAGTGAAAGTGCAACTGTAATAATATATCTGAAGTTGTAGGAACCAAAGTTGGTTTGGTTGAACTATTTCATAGGAAGCTTCTGTAACAGCTTACCGTAATGAACCAGTAGGAGTCAGGCCTGTAAAATATCCTGGATGTGAAGCCCATCAGACTGGCAGGTGCCAGCACATGAAGGTGCAAGTGAGTAACAGAGCAGAAAGGGGGCCAGTGGAAACCCAACCTGTAAAACCAAACATCAACCTCTTGCGTTTGTCTACAAAAACAAGTGAGCAGCGGAGTGTTGACTTAAACTAAGACTTGCCCTGCCCAAAAGGACAGGAAGATGTCAGACTACCCACCCTACTGATCCATCTACAAATAACACCATAGGGTAAAATTAATATGATTATGAGTACGTGAACAATTAATGACAGCACTCAAAAAACTATGTGATTCTTTCCTGTATGGAGTTATCAGATTATGTGGAAAGAGTGTAACATGGGCAGAGCAAGGTGTGTGTATATGTACTGTAACAAGGTACTCAAAAACCCAAACACGCTCAAGACTGGTTATTTTTTTTCTTAACTGATTTTATAACCGAGTAATGAAACACAGGATATCTCCGCCCCAGGAAGACAAAAGTACAGCTCTAGTGAGATGAATAAGCTACTACTGTATAAATCTAGAAGATTAAAAAAAAGTGAGAACTATACATTAAGGTAGGGAACTAAAGGACATTTTGTAAACAGGCTAATAAATATGAAATATGAAGTGGCAGATTATCTGTAATTTGGCACCCAACATTCCTATTGCAGATCATTTGTTTCATGTGGTTAAAGTCTGCACTTGTCACTTGTTTTTGTTTGCTATGTATCACATATCCATGCAGTTTACTTGCACGAAACTTGTAAATCAAGAGCATTACCTGATATCATTCAGGTCAGTAATGCCATTCTTCTGCAGCATTGCTTTTCCAACTTCCACCATCTTCTCCACTGTTCAGGAACAGAGAAAGTACATACATACATTGACAGAATATCACAATTTGTAGACAGGTTCTTTATTCTGGTAAATGGTATTTATAATAATTTATAAAGACTAAAAAATAATTCTGTTCTATTCATATTTACTAACAACATAAAATGTGAGATGTTTGGAAAACATATTGTGACTTTTCTTGCGAGTATACATTTTCTGTATTCTTTTTGCAACATTTGTGGTCTGGCAAATAGGAATTAAACACAAAGCTATGCATTCCCAGACAGGCATTTCCCAAAGTTTGATAATAAACCTAATACCAAAATTGAAATAATTTTTAGAAATAATAATTATGTCCTTCAAATAATCAGGAATATACTTGAAAATTTGTTTGACAGAGCCACCTAATAGTATCCACCTGAAATATTTTTCTTTTAAAAGGTATATACAGTAATAGATGCTGTAAATTTTTAAATGCATCAAACTTATCTGAAAACAATCTATATCTTTACCTAATGGTGCATGATCCTTTTTGAGACTCTTACAGTTCCCAATGTGTTTCATGGGCACAACAAGGTAGTGATGCGGTGCCCCTGGTTTTATGTCTTTAAAACAAGCCAACTCTTCGTCCTAAATCAAAGATAATAAATGAGAAAAATGTGAAATTAGACGTGATTCATAAGGCGATGTACTAAATGGTTATACGGCACTTGCTGATACACAGTATAGGTGCGGTCTTCAAAGTCAGTATTGTTTACGATCATAAACATAGTGATTTAGATTAAGAACATGTTTAATTGAAAAAAATCACATATACTAATACTATTAGAATTTAAGACACGTATATCACTATTTAGATTGCCCCAATTTGCTATTTCTGAATTACTGTGTTCTGAAAGGAAAAAATAAACGAAACTTTGAAACATATATTCGTTACTTACGAAATATATTACTTCAGTGTCAACTTCTTTATTGACAATTTTACAGAATATACATTTTTTCTCGTATCCATCTGTCTGATTTAAGCTGCCACTTTGCTCGATTGCTGTACCTTCACTCGCAGCCATTTTCAAACACTGTACCTGTAACCCATAGGCCACAAAGAAGATTGCAGCCGTCATCGAGCCCAAGGAAAAGCATACGATAACAGATGTTAATGGGAATGTGATCATTAGAGAATTAGTGATACTGTACCTAAGGTACAGAAGCTTATGACTTCGAAGATGAGGTATTGCAAATGACTGTTGGGCGATGTTATTTCCCCTACTGTATGTTAGTGTATTAAATCTAAAATGAAATGCCCAGTTTATACAGATCTAGCCTTTAAAATATGTACACGCAAACTGTACATATTTTCAATTAAATGTTTTATATGAACTTACTATAAATCCGAATTCATGTATATTTCTCTTAAATATTTATGTAGATAAAATGATTTTGTTGAGATTTGATAGAGATGCATATGACATTTTATGGTGTGTGATCAGAGAACCAAGCCATAAAGTTACGTATTTTGAAGGCATGTCCCTACTTAAGAGCTGCGAGTGCTTTAGCTGCGCGGTTCGAAGCCTATTTGTTACCGTATTCAATGTATTGTTAAACCAATCCATGCCATACGATATTTATTACATCAGAATATTCGTCATAATATTTTACAGCTTATAATACGAATCTAACTAATTCATAAAATAAAGTTTTGGACGCAGTGGCTATTTTGTGTACATTATTTAAAGCATACATACTTATGCTTATGAAAGTATGTTATTATGATATTGTTTATTTATTACTTAAATAAATAAACTTATTAATAAAAGCACGTCGTTTCCAAGTCATTAATCTTTTAATTTACAGTTGTGTGTGTCATGTGGTCCCTTCTGATCTCAATAAGTACAAAATATAAGTTTTCACTCAACTACTGTATACAGCCAGTACTTAAGGCTTAACATACAATGTAGAGTACATATGCTACATAGGTTAATCCTTGTAATATAGAATCCAACCCAATCATGATTTTTTTAACAAAAACCTCAGGGAGTGGTAATGTAACTTTTTTCTAGTCTTTTCTAACAATCAGTTTATAAAAATCTGAAGGGTGCTTTAATAGTTTCTTATAATGCCTGTAAGAAATGTTTTTTGATAATTCCTTTTTATTTACATTTTAAAGGGGTCTTTAAGCTAAATTGTTCTCTTCCAGCTCTACCAAAAGCCAAATATTAACAAGCCCTCTCGTGTGTGTGTGTGTGTGTGTTGTATTGTTACTTATTTAATAATTAATAATAATTGCTTACACTTATATAGCACTTTTCTGGACACTCCACTCAAAGCACTTTACAGGTAATGGGGACTCCACCTGGATGATGCAATGGCAGCCATGGTGCGCCAGAACACTCACCCCACATCAGCCATCAGTGACGAGAAGAGCAGAGTAATGGAGCCAATTCATAGATGGAGATTATTAGGAAGCCATGATTGGTAAGGGTAATGGGAAATATGGCCAGGACGCCAGGGTTACACCCTTAGTCTTGATTTTTAATGACCACAGAGAATCAGGACCTCAGTTTTACATCTCATCTGAAGGACAGTATAGTGTTTAAAGTAGTATTAACTGTATAGTGTCCCCATCACTATACTGTGGCATTAGGACCCACATGGACTGCAGGGTGAGCACCCCCCACTGGTCCCACTAACACCTCTTTCAGCAGCAACCTTAGTTTTTCCCAGGAGGTCTCTCATCCAGGTACTGATCAGGCTCATACCTGCTTAGCTTCAGTGTGTTGCCAGTTGTGAGTTGCAGAGTGATATGGCTGCTGGCCAGCAATATTTAAGCCAATACAGAAAAACAAAAGGATTTAACAACAGTATCTTCTTAATTTGTGACTGCTTTAGCAAAAGAAAAAAGCTCAATCAATAGTGTATGCAACTCCCTCTCTGATAGATTTAGTTTTTAATTTTCTCATTCATATCCATGAGAAGGGGTTCTGGTTAGCATTGATGCCTTGCAGCTCTGGGGTCCTGGATTAAATTCCAGACTTGGGGTACCATCTATAAGATCATATTATCTTATTTATTAGCCATAAACAGTTGTTTTCTTGCACTAGGAATTTGTCTTTTCACATACCCCGGCTTGCTCTCCATGTTGGTAAGGACCTTACTCAGGGGCCCAACAGAGTAGGAATCCTCTGCCAGCCATAGGATTTGAACCAGCAACCTTCCAGCTACAGGCACAGCTCCTTAGCCACAGTGCCACTGCTCTGCCTCTGTTTCTGTTAGTTTCCTCTGAATGCTCTGGTTTCCTCCCACAGTCCAAAAACACTCATAAGTTAACTGGCTTCTGTAAAAATTGGCATGTGTGTGGGCATGTTTGTTTGTGTGTGTGCCCTATAATTGACTGGCATCCTGTCCAGGGTGTAATCCTGCCTTGCACCCATTGCTTGCCATGTTAGGCTTTGGCTTCCCCTGCGATTTTGTATTGCATAAAACAATTTAGAAAATGGATGGAAAGATCTCTGTAAAATTTCACAAATGTTTATATGAAAAGCACTTGCTGACCTAATAGATTAATGGCTCTAGGGTTTAGAGCTTGTGGGTGGTATCATATGACCAAGAGCTCAAAGAAAATTGAGCTCTTACATTGGCTCTCTTGGGGATGAATAGATTACTTTAAATTGAATTGAAGAAGATGTTACCAATACTTAGCCCAGGAACTGTTATAAATATTTTGCCTTATAACACACATTTGTCACATGTCTTCCACATTTTACGTATTTTTTTCCTAAAAAAATGCTTCACTATATAAAACCTCTAGAGGGGGATTAGATATTTCCTAGGTTTTGAAAAAATGATTTAAAAAAAGGAGGGAGCACACATCCCTTAAAATAAAACCATTTTAAAAACTGGGTACACCCTTCTTACTGTATTACTTTTGGTGAATTTGTTATAAGAGATTATAGAACATATAATGTCAAATTCAACATACAACTGTATATTTGTAACAATTACTGTAAGAGAGCAGTAATAGAGAAAAACATTTTTACAACATGAAAAATACTTAGTGCTTTCAAATTAATGGAAATAAAAAATGCAGCTTCAAGACAAAGGGATGATTTTAACCTCAATTTATATTTTGCTGAGGACAGGGATGACTACAAAGTTTTAACTTTTATACCTTTTACAGAAGATGAGAAATCAGGCCTTACATTTCAGCAAAATGACCTGTTTTGGGGTTCCTGTCTCATCCTCTCTAAAGATTAGAGAGTCACACAGCCTCTCATAAAAACTTTGATTTGCATTGGTGTTTCAAAACATACACATTTGAAATATATACACCAGTTTCTGACCTACATAGAATTGTGACACTTTACTTTCAAAGCAAAACATTTGTGAAGCACAGTAATTCTGAAACTAATTTAAAAATCTGAGGATAATCTGAGGATAGTAGTCCAGCACTTGTAGACACCAAATTGCATTTATTTATGAGTAAAGCTCACCCAATATACAGTTAATCTGTAAATTGTATTATGTACATGAGTATAAGTAAGGTGAGCAATTTAGTTTTGTGACCTCCTGAAACAAATCTATTTTTGTTTTTGTTTTGGTCATTTTACTCTTCTGTTCAGTGTTGTTCCATGTCTTTCAGGAGTGGGGTAATACATTTCTTATATAATTATTTATATAATTGTTATTTTATTAGTCAATTTTATAGCCCTACGCTATTTAGTCTGATTTTTTTTAAAAATGAGATAATTTACTTTCTGAAGTATTACAGTGTTTTAAAAGTAATAGTAATCTCAAGCACAGTGATAGTTTTTGTTTGCAGTGTTTAAGTTTATGGAGGATTTGATGCTGCCTTGTCCATTGTCTTTGGCTGGTGAAATGTACAATTGAATACTACTGGCTTTTTTGTATTATTTTTATTCATATGGTGTTGCAATAATCCTTTTTCCACGGCCTTGGATTATTTGAATTATGCTTTCATAGTTACCTTGCCCTTCCATCTTGTAGGTCGATGGAAGCACTGTCTGCATGTATTCCATTTCTAACAGAGCTGCTAAATATTTAGCAATATTATGGAACCAGTTCTGCATCAGTTTGTGTTTGCAAAATGGCCTGGAAAGCTGTTTTTTAATATACATATTGTTTTAATAGTATTATTGGTCCTTTAAGATGTTATCAGCTTCACACAATATCAGCCTCAAATATGGAGGATTATGAGGAATGTTTATCAGGGTATTTTTACTTGAATTTAAGGCAGGAATATTCCTCTTGGAAATACAGTTTGAGGTGGTGTATTCTTTTACACCACTAGGGGGCGCAGTAGTTACTTATTCTGAGTTTCTTATTTAACTTTCATAATATGAAAGGAGGTGGAGGAGGGGTATTTTCATATTTTAATTTTTCATACTTACTGTTATGGAAAAATCTGGTTGTCACATAAAATATTATGCCTCCTTTTTCAAACCATACCAGTTATTTTAATGTGCCATCAGGTATGGTAGAATGGGGATCTCCATATAATTGCCCCCATTTCACACCAGCTCTTTAGTCCTTTCTCACTAAATACGTGCCAAAAAGACAATTGCCTGCCCCTGCTGAAATATGGTAAACATTTTGATGATCAAAAAGCACTGCTCTTCCACAAAACCCATCCATTTTCTAACTGCCTTTTCCAAATTTGTACAATTGAGGTCTTCACTCTCTTTGGTCATTAAAAATCTCAGGGCATTTCTTGAAAAGAGTAGGGGTGTTACCTCAGTCTCCTGGCCAGATTTCCCCCTGGCCTTTACTAATCATCACCTTCTAATTATACCCATCTATGAATTGGTTTCACCACTCTGTTCTCCTCCCCACTGAAAGCTATCGTGTGATTGTGTTCTGGCGCACTATTGCTGCCGTCGCATCATCCAGGTGGGGCTGCAGATTGGTGGTGGTGGAGGGGAGTCCCCATTACCTGTATAGCACATTGAGTGGAGTGTCCAGAAAAGGGCTATACTGCATAAATGTAAGGAATTTACAGATTAACAGATTCCCTAATATATTGTAAGAAGGTAGTTCTAGTCATTATCCTGGGTTCAGAATGGTTTATTTGCAGAATAACAGAGCATGTGCATTCAAGCTGTAAAAGTTGAGAAATAAAGTGAGAACATGAACAGCACTAGACATCAATACTGAAGTCCTGGACCAGCGCTTTGAACTATGTAGTCACCCAGAGGCATGACAAAATGATGTTGACACAGAGAGCAAACTGAAGGGTTGGAGCCAGCAGGGGAATAGGGGTTCCACCAGTTCATGTTCAAGGACCCCTATTTCACAAGAACAGTTACACACAAGAGGAGGCCATTTGGCCCAACTGGCCAATTTGGTAGTAAGTGATTATGAGATACCTACTGTACTTATGTATAATTATGTTTGGGTTCCGACAACCAAAATATTAAGTTTATTAATTATCCTTCAGTCCATAAAGTGGCTCCTAAATAATAAATTAACAATTAAAATTTTGGTTTCAATTTTTTAGCAGAGGACACAACTCATTTTTAGTCTTAGATACATTCAAGAATATGCTAACTCTATCATGTTTATGGGTTTGAGCTCCTCTCACAAAGAATTATTGACAACTCCTCCATGCTGAATATTAGAGCTCTACCTGGTAAATAAGGTTACTTTTGTGATCTTCTTTCTTCAGTTCATACTTTAAATTACTGAAGATTGTTAAGATCGATCAAGATTTTATTCTTCCTCTGCGATTATGTTGCAGAGCTTGTAATGTCCTATTATCTTACTTTGGATTGGATTATCTTACTAGAAAGTACCTTTCCAACCAGGTTTGAGCTTGTTGATATAAGGTTTTGGATAAAACACTGGTAAGTATTGGAATTGACCTGTCCCTCATTTTGATGGTTCCCAGGGGATGACAACTTTAACATGAACTTTACCTTTCTATGCTAAACATATTGACGGTGGGAGTATCCAAAGTTCTCATCTAAGGTTCTCATACTATAACATCACATGTTCCCATGTGATTTGAAAATGACTGATTTGCTATCTTGCATATACTGTACATCCTGCATATTTTACTTTAATATTATTGTGGAACTGCAGACATCAGATTTCACAAGATGGAGAATGCAGGTATTCATGGAGATGGTGTATTCTAAAGATGCCAGAGTTAACTGCAGATTCTGGTCATTGCCCAGGGGTCTGTGTTTATCCTCCCAAAGTGAGGATAGCAGCCATCCCAGCCAGTCAACAGTGCTCCAGCCTCGCTAATAATGACAAAAGGCATTGATTAAATAATTATTGTTAATAGTAAATTGAAAACAAAGTGACTTCAAGAAGCTTCTACAAATGTCCTTAACAAGCTGGAGATGACCAACAATAATGGAGAGTTTATTTTTTTATTTTAGATTTTATATTTTGGCATATTTACAAAATGTAGCTGTAAAAGAATCCTTGTAACCTGAAATTTCTGTAATTAGGTTTCAGATATGCTACTGATATAGATGATACTTTTATTCATTGTATACCTGCATTTTCTCTGCTAAAAAACTTTTAATAACAATTTATTCCGTTGATAAATAAATCAGAAGGCATACGTACAGTAACTATGATTGATTATGCTGAAAAAAGCATTAATTACCCAGCACAACCGTTAAAATAAATGAGCTATTGGGATAATTGGCCTCTTGATTTTAGACTTTCTAGAGCTGTTTTTTAAAATTATTTTGTTACTGTTATTATTGCGCTTCTGACAGAATACTCAAAAAACATTGCATTTTTGAAAGTTGTATTGCACACAGCCATAGAAAACAACTTTGTTTTTCGTTTCCATACTGGCTGATCATGAGCTTTGACAAGCAGCTGCCAAATAACACAAGTTGAGACTAATATTTTACTGGAAATTAGATCCAATCGTTCCGTATGAAAAACATAATGCAATGCTGTAAAACACGATTTTTGACTTCACTCATATACTGTACTGTTCATGTAAACTTATCACATGCACAAGACAAAACCAGAGTTAACCCAGTTGTTTTTTTCAAGAGTTGTATATGGTTTCAGGATTTGCTAAGATTGATGTGGCTGTTGGGTTGCTTCCAGTCTGATGAAAAATTGAAAGGCTTTATTCAGAAGAAAATTAAGTACTTTATTAAAACATGAATGAAACCATTTCAATACTTAATTTTAACTAATAGTTCAGTGCTTCCCTATTTCCAATAAGCAATTAAATAAGAAAGGAACTGCATATTCTAGTAGAACATACCAGTCTAGTACAAAATAAATCCTTTAATTTACCATGCGTTGTTTGGTAGTTTATTCTTGCTTTAAAATTACTGTCAATTATAACAGACATTTTTAAGAGAGATATGGAAAAAGTTCATGTGTGCTCTCTTTTATAGCCTTTTTTTCTCATCTTAAAGGGGAAAAGTATGTACATTAGAAAAGAAATAATGTGTAAGAGTACTTGATATTCATATTTATCTATACTTTGTTACAATTTCAAGTATTTTAACAGATTTCAGCATAAATAAAAATAAAAAAATGTTACAGTATTATACAGATTCAAAAGGTAAATATATATCAATTAGAGCATTTAGCATTGGAATGACAGGAGGGGTATATTCAGGACCAAAATGAAACCATGAATTCACTAAGATTTTGTCTTAAAACTTGGAACACAAGCAATAGGCCGCACGCCCTATTTGGCCTTCAGCACAATGTCATAAGCCCGTGGGAAGTCTGAGAGGGACGTTCATGTTTTGAAGGTGAAATCTTGTACCTTTACTGGAAAGTGGCAGTATTTTTCCTGGTAGCCTCTCCCTGTTCATACCATCTCATCTTGTTTTGTGCCAATATGAATAAAACTGAAACTGCATGTTCTTTGTACAGGAAGAAAACCTAGAACAGTCATTATTTCAAACAATACTGCAATTAATAAATTTCATGTGTAAAATGAAAGAAAAATCAATTAAACCCCTTTTTGCTTTATGCTACGTACAGTACCAATTACCAGTTGGAGATATTTAGTATGCAGCAATACATTTTTTGGAAATTAAATACACCTCTGTAAGGTACCTCACTCAGGTAGAGAATCTCAAGCAAAGATTCAACCATGAAAATCAATGAGGTTTTGAAACTATTCTACAAAGGCACAGTTCAAGAGCATAAAAATATTTCAAAGTTCAACAGTATTTGAGCATGGTGAAGTTGATCATTAAGAAGTGGAAGGCAACACCTACAGTAGACTGCTTATAGATCAAGCTATCCCTCCAAAAGTGATAAGCCACGCAAGGAGGAAACGGAAACGTTAAGAGTCTAGTGGCTGAGATAGGGGAAAATGTCTGTGAGTCAATAATACTGCATCTTGGCCACTCCACAAAGTGGCTTGTAAAGAACGAAAAACAATAATCTCAAATACAACATGTTTTGTATAAAACGCCTAAATCCTACTACAAACATGCTAAAAAGTGGTTTGGGTCAGAAAAGACTACAAATTTTAGGTCTAAATCAAGGAGTTACATCAGTATCCTAAATCTCAGCATAGCACATCACACAGTCAACACCATACCTGCCGTCAAAACATGGTGGAGACTGTTGTTATAGGGCTGCTTCTCAACAGTGTGTCAAGACTGATGATAACAAATGTATAGTATGTAAAGTATGTATAGGAAAATCTTAAAGGATTTGGACCTACATGTAAAACCGAGACAAAAATTCATTTTTCAGCAGGGCAATGATGCAAAGCTGCTATACACTGGAGTGGTTTAAGAATAAGAAAGTGAATTTCCCAGAGTGGCATTGTCAAAATCCTGACTTGAATCTTATTGAGAATCTGTAGAAGTATTAAAAAAAAAACTGCTTCCCATATGTCATCCCCTAGTAACATGATATGGCTTTAGCAAATCTGCCAAGGTATATGATAAAATCTTGGACCAAGCAGGTGTGCAAAGTTGGTAGAGACTTAGCCTACAAGACTTATGGCTGTAATTGCTTTCAAAAGTGCTTCCATCAAATGTTGAATTCACAGGCCGGATTAATTACGCAATCAATATATTTCAGTTTTCTCTTTTTGGTTCTTGCCAACATTTATTATTACTGTTTGAAAAAAAAAATGTGTATGCATCATTTTGTAATTTCACAAAATGGTAAGCCACTGAAAAAATATGAATACTTTTGCAAGGCACTGTATATAGCCTTTTGATACCTAGAAAGCAAAACAAAATTCCGCTTAGATATATTTGTTTTTATTTTAAAACATTGCAACAGTACAATAAATATAATCTTGGTAATACCACAGATTTGGTCTCACAAAGATCACAGTATAGAACACTACTCACTGTATTTTTCCTCTAGCATGATTCAACAATGTTTTTATACCTGTAATGTCTAAGCAATGTTTACATTTTATTTAGTAACAAAAGGTGACAGAACAAACTACCATTTGCAATTTTCAAAAATTAAGACTTTAGTCACAAAAATAATTGCTTCCAACTTCAAAATTGATACTTGTATTGATCATTAACATTGAGAATAATGATAAGCTTTGGACAATAAAATATTTTGTGAGCAACTTGATCTAATAACAGCAAACATGTTTTAATCTAATAGAAAACAATGTCTAAAACAATGTCTGAATGCTTCTGGTGCAAGGATATGACATTCCAAGAGAACACATTTTATGGTGAACTAATAGCCATTTTAATAGCCAGAAAATTTGTATCAGTTGGTCTCTCTCCTGAAGATGTGGCTAGTTCATACATATAACTACGATGTTTTTTTCCAACCAAACTATAAATGTTAGCATTACAAATCTACCAACAGCATTAGGACATTAAACATTGAAATGACTGCATTTCAAACATATGAACAATCATCAACTCACAAGACAGTGGACAGAAAAAAAAACATTTTCAGAGACAATGGGGAAAATATCATACTGAAGCAATTATCCTTGATCATTTAGTTAAAAAAGGTTTTCTCTGCCTTTATTAACAAGCCTAAGGCATTTGGTCCTGCATGCTGTGCAGCAAAAGACCTTGATTGTAGAGTGACGTTTAAAAATGACATAATGACATTTAAATAAACTTGAAGGAAACACTGAATTTCTTTAAATCCAGTGCCTGCACTGAAACAAAAGACTGATGAACAACTTTTAAAAAATAAACCATAACAGTGTCCTTATATAATAAGGGAATACACAGTTCATTTAAAACAGTTTCTTTTAAATATATAAAAGAAAGTTTAACCCAACTAAATAATTGAAAAACACAAAACTAAACAAAAACAGTTTATACATCTTTTTCAGTTCTTGGACTACGTTTATCAAGGCTACAATGTTTTTGTAGAATTACTCAGTGACACACAAGAGTGAAAAAAAAAACTTAGGAAAAAGTGTTAAAGTATTATTGTTTTTGAAACATTACTGCCACATTCTATCCACAATTACTGCGATTACTAACACACAAACGTGAGACAGACATTTTCAATGACTAGTGCATTTAATTCCCCTTCGTTATAAACACAAGCGCTTCATAAAGAGCCTAACAAAATATTGGTTCACATCTTGATATGAATTAAGGTTAAAAATGAAACATTTCCAGGAATAATATGGAGGCAAACATCACTTTCTTTAGTGTTTCCTTGAGCCAACATTCTGTGGTTTTGATTCTCTAAAGCAGCACAGTTTAGCCATCATGCTGTGGCACAGACAACTTCCCAAGCACTGTGTTGTGTGTTCTAAGGCAGCCAGCAGTGTGAATGTACCAACCAGTCCTCACAACTGTTGGCCCTTATGTAAACCATGTTCATAACTAAGGCAACCAATTTCTTTCTGTAACATGTTTATTCAAACGTCCACACTTCGAGATCTTGAACAATGAAATCTTCCTTCTTTGACAGCGTTTCATTCTGGAATGTGTAACAAGGGTAGCTTGAACCATGGTACAAATCTGCATCCAGCCATAAGCCAAAGTGTCCCCTAGAAACAAGAAAAGACCAAAATTATGAGAACCTAAATCTTTCAATCCAAAGGCTTGATTAAAAACATTTAATCATTTGAAATTCATTTGGGAATAAAGAAATTGGTAATTTACTTTACAATGAATGTAAAAGAAATGTAGAAGCCATAGGAATATTTCTAATTTATTGTAGTTTTCACTACCAGTCAGACAATAAAATAGACTAGGTTACAGGAAACTCACCCTCCACCTCCCAGTTCTACTGAATCTGTGTCTCCTTTGATAAAGTACGAGTTCTCTCCACTCCACCTGAAGATCTGTTAAAATAAAACATGGTTAAAATGCACAGAAATCCAAACTGTAGAGCTCTAGATTGTAATATGCAAGAAATCACCAGTGAAAAATGAACAAAAACAATAAACTGCATGTTTACCTTAAATTCTGGGCTAAAGGTGTAGAGGAAAGTTTCTCCTGTGCCATAGCAGTGATCACTAACTTTAAGTGGATGAGATGTGAGTGCTCCAAATACCTGAAGAAAAAGAACATAAATTAGTTGTTATATTTTAACCTCTGCTGAACTTAAGCATGACAGATACCTGACTTTATTCTTAAAGCATTATGTTAAGGCTTAGCACAAAAAAGCTGCAATGTCGCTACCTGATTGTCCACATCTTTAATGACCAAGAGCACTGGGCTGTCCAGGTGGGCCAGGTTGCGGTAGAGGGTTTTTAAGCTGGTTCCATGAACTGCTGTACTATAAACCAGTCGCCAAGGGTACCCTTGAGTCCTTGCAGGCAGACACTGCGCCAGCTGGGGAAAGAACAAAAATGCTACTCAAAATTGCCTCCTCTGTTGGTGCAACTTCTTTTTTCATTGTGGGAGATTGCTGAGAACTCAAATAAATGATGCCCCTAAAGTTAGCTGACCTATTTAAACAACAGTGTGATGAAAACTGTGCACAGTGCAGCAGTTTTGAACGTCACAGTGGCAAGTGCCCAGTTTTACACCAGGAATGCACTGTGGACATTCTGTTGGATTACTGTGAACTTTGAGTCCCAATGCATGTCTGTCATACACCTCTGGAACATGCAGTTCACCTGTATGTCATTTCATAGCCACACAGTACAGAGCTGTCATGAATCAGCTATTTCAAATGAACCAAGTTTTCTAAACACACTTAATGATATATTGAAAATTTCTATTTCAGCTCTCCTAAATTTGGTAAAACTAATGTAATACTAATACCAATTCATCCAATGCAATGGACACTTAGCAATCTGTCTATTTTTAATTCAGACATATATACAGTACTATGCACATTTAATGAAAATGACTAGCAGATCTCATGTGCACCTTTGAAGGCACACTTTAATTTGTTTTTTTGGACAGTGGGTCTTGTGTGCAAACAATTTTGTATGAATGCAGTAGGAGATTTACATACAGTGAACAGCACAGCAGCTGTGAACGAGTGTATGACCACTTTCTCAATTTGTTTAGCCATAAAAGAACAGCACCTTATGTTTGGATAAAGTCCAGAGTGAAATTAAGTGTATTGGTATACTGTAGTTTTAGCTAAAAACCTGACAAGCACTAACAGCAGACTCATGCACACCTTCTCAATGTGTGTGTCCTCCAAGAGCACACTTTGGTCATTCAGGGCAGGCAACAGGTCTTCTTCATCCTCATCCTCGTAACTACAGTAGCTCTGCCGTCGTTTTGCCTCATTGACAGTGATGATCTTGAGGGTGGAAAAAAAACAAAACTGAGTTTTTTAGCTCCTAGGAAATTTAGTTCCTGAATGTCTTTCAATAAAGAAACAAAGTGATGATTAACACCATAAAATCAAAACATTTATTTAGTTTTTTTAAGAACATATTTTGCTTGTTTCTTTTTGCCCTAGATTTGGTAATTAAATAAGGTGTAAGACTTTGCATGAAATTTGTTTTTATTGAAGTTTTTCTCTGCAACTAGTGGCTGATTTACCCTATTTTTGACGGGTGACTAATTTAACAAATTGGTCAAAACTAGAAACAAATGTCAAATTAATTCAATGTATACATTTTAAAAACTACAGTAAGAGCTTCATGGAAAAGCTTGACAAACATCTTAAGAAAAAAGTCTTTCAATGGAAAAAAAATAAAACCTACAACCTCTGTAAGAAGCACTGCATATTTCTAAAAAAACAGTACACTATTACCAGAGGGACATTAAAAATAATCAATACAAGTGAATTAAGAGATTTTTTCTAAGTATATTTCTAATGTACTGTGATGACTATATCCTTGTAGGTAAATAGATCATGCGTGCAACACAAAACCTCACACATCTGTTAACTTCGCGTTGTGCAACATGCAAATACTCCCGTAATTTTACATTGGGTATACAATGGTGACACTATATAATTTTACTTTGTGTAGGGTGTAGGGAAGGGGTGCTTTTAATAAGACAGCACCTGTACTTTAAAGCAAAATACCTGAAACACAAAAACATACAATGGAGGTACATGACATAACAACAGGAAACAGTTTTTAACAAATTAAGTTTCACTTTAAAGGTCTGTGTTAAAAATAGGTTGAAATAAAAGGATTTCAATATTCATATTCATTTTCCCACAAGAACACAATAATTTAAAACAAACCTCCACATATGGTTCTTCTTCTCCCTTTGCAAAGTACAAAATCTTGATATTCAATGGCAATGCCTTCATTGCTTATAGCTAGTTTCTTTCCTTCCACGTGAAGCTGTGTTACAGTTTTTACTGACGGTTTTATGCATCTCTACATTCTTTTTTTATATCTGCCACAGTTGCTCTCATTGGCTAATTCATTTCTGTGGTAAAGTTTCATTTCTTCAGAAACAGAAAGTGAATGGCACAGGAAGACAAAGGCAGGATGACCAAACATGGTATGAGAAGGAACCTGTGCAGGGTGTTCAGTGATTATTACTATGAAATAACTGTGGCAACTGTAGCACAAATGTACATGTTGTTTTTACAGTTTGTCTGCAGAATCAGATGGCTATATTGATTTATAGACTGCAGTTATAATGTAAATAAATACAAGTTTGTTTTTTTAAGGCTACTGCACATGTTAGAAAAAGCATAGTTAAAAACTTTAGCTTAATATTACATCTGATTACCATGCAGTACAAAGGAAAATGCACACATCAAATGAAGAACACTCACCTCCCAACTCTTTGGAACTGGATCACCGAAGAAGTTGTCTATCATGTCAAGCTCATCCTTCTCCACCACAATGAATCCTTGCTCTTTGGCGTCATTGCCATAAATGTCTGGTGACCACTGCACAAAGAAGGCGTACAGATGGTCCACCCTGAAAAAATTACCGTAGAAAAAATGTTAATGAAAACTTGCAGCACTTTCTCCTGTTCTAAATGTTGAAAAGTCCTGAATTAAATCTGATTAAGCTCTGGTCTCCATTTTGATTAATGGAAATATAATAATGCTGATTACTACAATTGTTAAACTTAGCTTATCAACCTATTGTAGTAATGTGGGATCGTCTCTATCACATGGGAAAATAATCAAACATTGCACAATTAGAAACTTAAACAGGACAAAGGATATTTAACTGGTGAAAACACTGTGAAATAACTTTTGATTGCTTAAGATTTCCTAAGTAAATGCTAAAAGTAAAATTATTTGGATTAAAGGAAAGCTTACTGTTAAAGGCATGGGCACTGAACTTGGACCAGTCATGCAGGAACTTGTAAATCTTGTATGATCTTATCTCATCTACAAATTTAGTGGGAGGACTGAGAAACTGCTGTGCAACATTTTCACCAAAAGACAAAACATACAACGTCTTTGAAATTTAAGCACTGAGGATGGTAAAAAAAAAAGTTTTAACGGCTATCTCAAAATAATACACCCAAGCCCACAAACATACCAAAGCTATGATGAAAATCCAAACCAGCAGCACAACAATACAAATCTGCCAACTGATGATTTCTGACTGTCTTTAATGATTCCCACAGAAGATAACACAACATGGCTAAGTGCTGAAGCAGAAAAGAAAATGGCTTAAAATATTTGGAGATGATATTGTAAGTCTTAATATATATATATAAATGTAAATCAACCATTTTAATATACATCAGGATGAATCTGAAATGAATTAAAATTCATGTGGAAAAATCAAAAGGTGCTACTGTAGGTAAATGGTACCATATATCAATGAATTTGTTTTATTGTGCAACTTTAGCCTGATCTCCATCATCTTTTGTTACGCACAGTTTGGTGCTGAACAGAATCTACTATAACTGCACAGTCAATGCATCTATGAATCTTCAAGTCTGTGCAAGCATGGTAAGATATTCAAGGCACCCCAGATTAACTTTGACTTAACAGGTAAACTGGTATTTAAATATTCTTTAACCTAAATATTCTTAAACCTTATTAAACAAAATTATTTTAAAATAAAATATATGTTCAACCTGCAAATTACAAAGTATGTAAACATGTGCATAAAGGCATTTTACACACAGGAAAAAAACATTTATGCATAATTATCTTAATGCATTCTTTTAAAACGTGTAGCTCTTTATGCTACTTACTCTTTAATACTGTAAGCAATGCCCATTCTGTTCAAGGTTATTGAACACGGAGCTCTAAGTTGCTCTTCTGTTCCACTACAGCAAATGCACGCACCTCCTTAAAGCCACATTTATAGCAAAACGTTTAGCTAAGATAAGCAACTTTGTTAATATTCTCAAAAAGTTCCCCAAGGCCAAGAACTAAAGGCATTTCACAACTAAGATGGAAATCATTTCGAGTTGAAAATTAACTTAAGCTGCCTGTCTAGATTGGATGTGGTTATTGTATTTTGTCAAATCAAGCACTGTACAGCTAAAGATGTTGCAAAGAACATCATATCTGTTGCAAATCCATAAGCCCTACAGGCTAAGCAAAAACAACTTAAGAACTTGCATGCAACAAATGTCTAATAAAAGTAAATTTATTAACAGGGCTTGCTGCTATGTGAAACAGAAAAAGAGCTGTGGAGAATTTCCATTCCTTTTCTGAATAAATCAATTATGACAAGTGACTATTTGATCTTATTTACTGTATAATTTTGTTTGCTTTGTACAAAGCAGTTTCTGCATATTATGGTCTTGGGTTTCAGAACATATGTTTTTTCCCTAATTTTCTCAAACATGTGCATTCCAGACATTGGATATTAATTCTGGTACTGGTGTTAATATAACTGCCCTGTAACCTATTTTGTATCTGAATTTCACACAGACCAGCCCTAGTGCTGCTTTCAACTCATTTCACAGGTACATAAACACAGACTGGCCTTTTGGACTGTCAGGTAATTAATTACACATGCAATTTGTTTTACTCTCCTGCAAAAATCAAATATTGTAAATTTTGGATATCACCACCCATTTCACTGGTAGCCTTGGGTTGCATGCAATTTCTAATGTAATATCAGGCAGGGTCCAGAATCAAGTATTAGAATTAAAGGGAAAGAGATGTAACCAGTTTGTGCATCTCTACCTTAATACAAATCAGGTCTTTGAAGATGATTACATGGTAATCAGAGCACCAATTTCAATCCAAGGGCATGGCAAATTTATTAATAGTATACTGCAGTCTCAGAAAAGTTTTAACATAGGTTTCAAGCTATATTCTTTCATAAAGTAAACAGTGTTAAAACAAGCAACCATGCTATAACCTGTGATGTGAACATTGTTATTGCAACTGACCTTAGTATCAATCAGTTGCTATATACAGTTCACCACTGATAATAAAGCTTTTGTTTTGCGGAGAATAGTGGGATGAAATAAATCACACTACCAGCAGCAGAAAGAAATAAAATGCAAGAAGCAAAATTAAATGTATAGAAATTTACCATGACCTTGTAATTAATGGCTAAAATATTAAACAAGTATATATATATTCAGTAGTTCAGGTGGGTAGCTGCATCAGCATGCGTAGGCTACAAAGGCTCCACGGCTGAAACATTATGTTTTCTTTCTTCTCTTTTCAGCAGGGAATAAACCGATTACTTGTTCCTATATACAGTGTGTACAGTATATATATATATTCAGATTTACTAGCTACTGGACCCGAACACATCAAGTTTTACAACTTCTGTAAAAACAACGTTTATCACTTAGCTTTAATTTTAAAAAAAGGAATTTAACCTTCACAACCAAAAGCCATACAACTAAAAGAAAAACAACAGAATGAGGTTGTAGGGTCATACACATGGTAAGATAACACCACAAAGGAGTATTTCCTGACACAAAGGCACATGCAGTGCACACAAAGCACATGGCATTCTATCTCCGGACATGTTAGCTTATGATTCTTACACAATAGTTTCTTACACTTAAAATGTTTTTTAACCCAGCAGTACAGCAAACCTTAACTCTGTATGCAGTCATTCCATTTCTTTTTTTCTTACAATGGCAGTTAATTTTGTTCTGAATTTCAGGATTTTGAATATGGGTACTTTTTTAGTGACATATATACTGTAAGTTAGCTTAAAACATATGCAGTATTAGTGATAATTTTAGTTACATGTACATTTGTAAGATACTAAAATAGTTGTGCGGTAGCATGCTGTCATTTTGTTTTAAATAAATGAGGTACAAAATAATTCAAGGATGACAAAGTTACCACAGTTCAATATTATTTTACAGAATAAAATTCAATTAGCACAGGAATCCTTTGTCACTATAATATTTTTCCAATTGAGATCAGAATGGGAAGCTATAAAAGAGAGTTTAAAACCATCAAACAGAAAAAAATGTTGCTTTTTTCCTTGTAACTTCACATTTATGTCTGTTCCTTTGCAGTCTCTCCATTACTGTCTGTTACATTGCACACTGACCTACATTTCCTTGCAGACCACACTGCCTAAGATGTCTATACAGCACAAACTCAGCTTTGGCACAGATAAAACCTTCTTAAGCAGAAATTAAACTATTAACTCAGGTTATACACCTGGACTCGCCAGTTGATTAACAAGCTATAAAACATGCAGCACGTATTACTGCTCAGCTGTCTGTGACATGGAGTATATTATACAAGTGATACAAGCAAATTACCCCACATTTTAACAAAAGCTTGTTACTTATTAGCAAGAAAAAAAAACTATGCGTTGTCACACTTTTTAAAAAAAGATCTTGCCCCATCTTCTTTATTATTTCAAACTGCCCATGCACTTTGCAAAGATGAAGAAAAACAACCTAGCTCATCACTATATACTGTACCACACAATGGAGCATTAAGTGATGTATTTTTGCTGCAATCATTTTTGAAACTACCAGAAAGAAACGTGTACCGAAATTGAAGTAATCAAGAAAATCTAGGGCAAAGAAAAACAACTCCAATCACAGCTCCTATTGTAACATCATGCCCAGACTCGCTGAATATTCAGTGACTGGGAATTTTCCAAAATGTCTGTTAGTTTTGGTGGAACATATCCATTTACTTGACATCAACAAGTGAAATGGTAAGGCAAGTGTAATAGTATTAAGGTGAAGTCTGGGTGTCTGAGGGAACATTTTTTAATTCTGGAACCAATTGGAAATAACATGGGAAGTAATGGAAATTTAATTTCATTACATGTATTTACACCTTATGAGCATCTGAGGAATACATTTAGCTTGTATAATGAGGGATTACTGTACTAATGAAATTTGTATTCAGATTCATATGAGGCAAAATATAGAATTTAATCTTTTATTTATATATATGTTTAGCCATGTTAGAACAAAGCCATGTTTACCCGTTGTATTCAATGCCTCAATTTCAAGTCAGTGTAACAATTGGGACAAACAGCTGATAAATATTACCAATTATACATGTGTTTGCACCAATGTGAAAACATGAAAAAGCTGTGTTAACTTAAGTTAAAAGGCTTTAACCAAGAGGAAGACTAGAATGTTATCTATGACAGAAAAGCATGAAATTGTGAAGAAGAGAGCAAGAAAATTCCAATCAGAACCACTGCAGGTTCCACATGGAAGGTTTTGAAAAAGAAACTCCTGGAAGAGTAAGCAATCAGCAAGGGCCAAGTCATCCAAAAAGACAACAGCTGCTGATGACAGAGAAATCAGACCTGTGCAGAATAACCCTAAAATGACAACCAAACACATTGCAGACAATCTCCAGAGTGCAGGGGTGAAAGTATCTCAATACACTGCACACAGAAGACAGGAGAATTACAAGGGTTACACTACAAAATGAAAATCCCTCAAACTTGAAACAGTTATTACACGTCAAGTGTATGCGACCAATACTAAATTAACATTAGTTTAATTTAATTTGCTCCAAAACTTATGATGACCTGAATGGGTGAATTGAACACAAAACATTTTTGTTCTGATGTGGTTCAACATGTATTGTATGCATAAAAATATCCAAAAACAAAACTGACCCATATACTGACTGTGCTGCTGACCCATATTTACTGTTTGATCTGAAATACAAATTTCAATACTGGTTGGTAAAGAAAATGCATGAGTAATATGCCCATAGGTGAATTTGGTCTATGCAACTACAGTATGTTTGGTTCTTTTACTTTAAGTGAGCCTTTAAAATTTCATTTATTCTAAGTAACATTAAAAACCTGTTTTTCCTGAAGTTTAAGTGAGTAAACATGTGATAATGTAAGGTGAATGGTGGCTGAAAGAACACTGAGGCAAAGATTGTCCAGCTACCTGTGTTTCACCAAGCAATGCTATTTGTCCTCATAAGAAATTGAGTACAATCCACGTCTATTGTCTCAAACACATAAGTCAAGTTGCCTATTGCTGGGGGTGCCCAAAAACCTAATGTGAGATTGTTAACTAAATATTATTTATAAAATTAAATCAACAATAATTGTGTTTCATAATAAGGCAAAAAACAACACATACATCATTTTAGATCTTTTTTTTTTGCTTAGCAAATGAAAAAAAAATCTTTACCTTCTTTTTTCTTTTTTTCTCCATTATTGCAGAGAAACTCACCTTTCCTGGGGTACTGCAAACCAGTACTCTGGCTGTTTCCCTCTCCTTCCATACTGGTGAGCTGGACTTGCACTCTGACATGCAAATGTCTTCCTCATAGGTCTCCCCACCTTGATACACAGGAACATTGGAGGCTTCTTACTTTTCTCTTCTTTTGACGGCAGCATATCTACAAAAAGCAACATCTACTAAGAAATATTTTCTTCTCTATGTGCAGCAGAATCGATCAATTAGTATGGTTTGATTTTGCTAAAGAAATTCTAAAACACAAACAAAAATGTTATTCAATTCTCTTCAATAATAGTTGTAATAATATAACACAAACAAAACTGTTAAAGACAAAAATCAATTAAACTTTATTTTGAAGTCAACATAAATGGAACCCAAAAACAAAAAAGCAAGTAGGAACATCAAGTACGTACAGTTTGAAAGGAACAAAAACACTCACCCTCAATTGGTCCCTGTATCCTTTTGAACAACCAGGACTTGATTTCAGATTCCCTGTTCTGCTGTTCCACTTCCTCAGACTGTGGTACTGAAAGAGGCCCATCTCCATTTAATGCATCAGTGCTCTGGTCTGGCCCTGGCTGGTTCTTCTTGGCAGACACTTCAGCTCTCTCACAAGAGCTAAGCATTCTGTTCTGGTCCATAGTGGTTTCTTGAACAGATGTAACTAAACAAGTGTCATTGGGTGTTTCAGATTCAGCTGAATCTACATATGAGGGTTCAGCTGTAGCATGTGCTGTCTCACCTCCACGTCCATCATCAGGCAATTTTCCCTCTTTAAGTGCTTTCCCTTTTGGAATCTCTGTGTGAATGTAAACAGGGGTTTCCTGAGCATTTTGGTTAGAGCCTACCTTCTCCAGTTCAGGATCTTCTCTTTCCTCTAACCCCATGGAAACAACAGGATATAATGTGTGCTCCTTGTGTGCCACCAGCTCCTTGTCTGCACTAGACTGATGGACCAAAGCTTCTAAAGTCCCTTTTTTTATTTGAGTGTCATCACTGGAACCAGTACAAATACCATTTGCCAATGGTTCAATCAGAGATTCATCAGTGTTTCCAGTTACAAGGGGTTCTATCTCAGTGAATCCTTCATCTGACAGTGACTTCTCTGTGGTCTCTGATTCATGTTTGACATACACAGCCTCATCCACACTTGCTAGGCATTTCTCTTTGCTCATGGCCTTAAATCGGCTGAAAGGATTGATATCCTGCTCAGATGAGAGGTCCTCCCACTCCCCAGGCCTGTAGAGGGGACAAAGATCCTTTGGTAGGTCGCTGTGAGGGGAGAAATGACCAATGCGTATGGGAAATTAAAATCAAAATGGACAAATAAAAATAACATGGAAAAACAACAAAAAACAACAGCAACAATAATAATAATAGCAATAATGTTGATGATGAGAATGATGATGATAACTTAAATAAGGAAATGCAAATAAAACAATAAATCACTTTGATGCCCAAAAACTTAAAGAACATGGTCCAAAAATGCATATAAAAATGACACTTTAACCTTCGTAATTCCAAAAGCTGGATAATAGTAAAAAATAATTCCAATTATATGTGAATCATACTTCTATGTTATACCTCATTTGCTGGCGCTTTTAAGATTATATACACAATATTAAGCATGCTGTATATCATGTATTTCATGACTTAACATTCAAATTGTTATTCAAGTACGCTTTGACGCTTAAGTCACAAAAATGAACAAAATAAAGATATGAGTTACATTTTCCAAACAAGAGGCTGGGGAGATTGGAGAACTCAATACTGTAAAGTGAACCTGATTTTCAGGAGAGTGAAATGACACTCCTTAGCTAACTCTACAGAAAAAAGAGTGTTACAGATGAGGCAATTTCATTGCTTATCACAAATTGGGAACTTCCTCATCACCCATTAAACATAAAAACTACATGTATCACACTACTGTATTTTCTACAACAGTATGAAAATCTGAGAATAAGAAAACAGCCCAAAGACTTACGATGGCAGGGCGTCCTTGATCTTCATGTGTGATATGTCGTTATATAGCGCAATAGAGACTACCTCCTCCATGGGACAGATGAGACCATACTCTTCACAGCCATTCTCTATTACAAGGGGGTCAGACTTGTGAGGATCAAACATGATGTTATTTGGTGTCACAATCATTACTCCACCAACTACTCCCTAAAAAAAAGATGACATTCATATTTAAAATGCAGCAACTAAATATCTGATTAAAGTGAAAAATCTCATGATTATAGCTGACATCCACCTTGCCATCAGTTATATATCTACAGCTCATTTTGAGAAACTTGACTGTTGAAGGTTCCTCCTCTTCAGAGGCTGAAGACAAAATTCGGTGGAGAGGTTTTGATGCTTTCCTGGCACTGTCAGCATCCTGGAATTAAATAAAAGAAGAAAAATCATAATTTAACTCAAGCTCTGTTCTGTGGATTCTCACACATACAGCCAGACTACATCAGAACCCATGCAACACACACTATTTTCAAAATACAATCTCAGAATGTGATGCAATTTTGCCACTGATAGAATTGCGCTTAAGTTTACTCTAAATTTAATTTTAGGTAGGCCGTATTTTAATTACCGAGGTCAATCTGCAAAACGTTCAAAACTATTTTTTTTTAAAATAAATACTTCAAAATGAATGAATAACAGAGAAAACTGGAAAAAATAATGAAGAGAATATTTTTGGGGCCTTCATTAAGAGACTGCTTATTTTTTAATAAAAACATTTTTAAGATCGGGAAACCTAAAAACTTCAATACCATGTGGATTGCTCAAACATTTTAAGTATCATATTGATATTGTTTTTTACCTTTCGATGACAGACCTCAAAGGCATAATCATGAAAGAGGACAGTGTAAACTTTAATCTTGGCAGAGAAAAATCAGAGTGGTTTTAATAAAATATAAACCTTGTAGAACCAAACCTACATTTTATTCCATGACAAATTTTGCATTTCTTTTAAAGCATCTAATTTGTAAAACTGGGAATGGAATCAGGTTCAGGCAAAATCGGCTTGGTTTGTTTTTATTCAGGTGGGTAGCTGCATCAGCATGCGTAGGCTGCAAAGGAACAAGTAATAGGTTTATTCCATGTTTAAAAAAAGAAGAAGAAAACACAACGTTTTGGCTGTGAAGCATTGAAGCCTTGTGAAGGCTCCACGGCCGAAACATTGTGTTTTTTTTCTTCTTTTTTTCAGCACAGAATAAACCTATTACTTGTTTTGTTGGTTTGTTTTTGCTGCTCTTACCGACATTTTGTCAAACTCTGGATCATCAGAGGAGAAAGCTGAAGCAGGACTGCAGGGGCTGACAGACAGGGAGTTGGTCTCAGTGGGTTGCTGGGTGACATCAGGGACAAACAGCGTCTACACAAACATCAGAAAGCAGATGAACCAACAAGCATCAAACCAGTATAAAACAAACAAGCCCATAAACCATAAATTATTTTACTGTACCTGCCCTGGGACAATAGTATGAGAAAACAGCCTGTTGATTTCCACAAGTCTATTTGGGGTAATGTTAAACTTCAGAGCTATACAATTTAGAGTGTCCTTGGGCCCCGCCTGCAGAACAAAAGTGTTAAAACATCAGAATCACTGAATTATCTATAGAATAGATTTATACATTACAGTTAAACTGCTTTTAATTACAATAAAATTCTGCTTAGTTACAATATCAAAACCTTCCGTATCATTCTGAAACGAAGACAGAACATTATGCTAATCTTAGGCCTCTGCAGTGCTCACAAACTTAGATATTAAACAGATTTGGGTAAATTTAATAAGTAAAATGAAGTTAAACAACAGCAAACATTTGCTATACATGTAGGAATATAGAGGTAAAGTGTTCCTAAATCCTTTCAAACTAACTATTCTAAAATAAAACTTTAACAAATGGTTAACCTGCATTTGTGACTTTAATATTAAAAATAAATTCAGATATAAATGATGGTATTACAGACCACAAGATGAGATTCAGATTGCCTGATCTAAATTAAATTTTTATCTTCACTGCTTACTTCTGTTCTTGAAATGAACTTTAATAGATCAGATGTGAGTTTGATATAGTCACTTACTGTATATTCCACTGTCCCACTGGGCTTCTGGATAACTCTTCTCTTCTCCTTCTTTGTGCGAGTTTTATTTCGGTTGTCATCTGAAGAAGAAAAGTAAGAAATTTGATGGAAATACTTTCGCTAGAGAAATTTAAAAAGCAATTAAATGAAAAAATGCTAGGCGGCCAGAACCTATCCTGGCAAGCAATGGGTGCAAGGCATGATACACCCTGGACAGGACGACCAGGAGGTACTCACAGCAGGGCCAATTGTCCCGGAAGCCACTTAACCTACTAGTATGTGTCTGTACCGTGGAAGGAAACCCACATGAACACAGGAAGAATATGAAAACTCCATGCAGATAGCATTCTTGGAATTGAACTCCGAGCCCCAGTTCTGTGAGCTAGCAATGCTAACCACTGTGCCACAGTGACGCTCATTCCTACTGTCAACTGTGAACAAGTTTATTAAAGGACTGTATCACATTTCAATATCCTGGGTATATTTTATACTTGAGGAGTACGTAGGCATCAGATTATTTCTCTTCCTGAGCTTTTCCCTTTTAAGAAAATGAAAAGGTAACATTTCTAATAAAAGTTATCCAATTCTCCACTTTATGGTAATGCTACAATAACAGAAATTTTAAATATCACTTTTACTTGACCAGTTGAGCAAGCTTATTAATAAGTTAAGGTTGAACAGCACTCAAAACTATTGACCTCGGTTCAGACATTAAGCAAGGAGTAAAATCTGGTTAAGTTTTAGTTTATGCTGCAATAAACTACATAGGTCAGGTTGCATGTATTGATTCAGAGAGAAAAAGTTAATTAAAACCCTTGTGTTGCAAAAGACATAAGACACTGTAAATGCAAAAAAAGGGAAAAAAATATCTTCTCATCTAAATTGAAAAATAATTTTGATATTTTAAGACTTATCCTGGAGATGTCAAAGGATAAACATCTACTCAGACATTTTGGGTCACATGAAGGTTGAGAGCTGGTCTGTAAAAGTTTTAAAAAGTGTGAGTAAAAGAACATTTTTATAAATGTATAAAGGTTTAAACATTGTAATATTGATTAAATTGGCTACAAACAAGCTGAGAAAGTTTGGGGTTTGTACTATTACTGCAATATTGAAACATTATAACAACTATGTATAAATGAGATAGTACTCTAATCCACTATGCACTTTGGATTTCATACAGCACTGTGCACATTACTGAATAACCAGACAATGCTTGGCCATCAGTTTAAGCCCCTTTCCATTTAGTGCATATCAGTTACTGTATCTAAGCTTTTGACTTTATGATTACACCTAGGTTTTCCATTACTTTATTTTTCAATTAACTGTCATTTATACAAGAATTTAAATAATACTTTATTTGTAAGAGTTATATTTTTTGCTTGCATTTGGAAAAACAGGCATCCCATTTTTTCCCCCCAGCTATCGTGCACATCACGACTAGAATTTCTGTTCTGCAAGAATGCCAACATGCAAACTAGGACAGGTTTATATGTTAAAATACTGTAAATGATTTCACAATTAAACGGTTTTAAAATCTGTAAGTAACTTCCCGGTTACGGTTCACATTTTATAACCCTTACACAGACGAAACGACTTGTTCAGGCTTGGTTTTAACTAAAGCAACATACAATAACTGAAGTCCTTGTTTAAGGGTACAACAGCAGTGCCTATGGGACGTGAAACCAAATTAGAAAACCTTCCAGTTATGAATCCAGAAACCTTAACCACTACTCCACGCTACTGCCCACCGATAATTAAGTCACTTATTTTAATTAATAATTTACGAATTCTTACCAATTCTATAAAAATACTCCATGCAACCTAATGACCAACTATAGACCTTCTTGTTTTTTTTAGCATTTATAATGGTTTTCGGAGATGAGGGGGTAAATCCACAGGACTGGGAAGTGTCCTGCAAACATTCCAAACTACGGAATCTTCGGCTTTCTTCGTTTCTCTCGCCCAACTCCAGTGAAGGCGGCAGCCACATTTCATACGAACTGTTTGAATAAGACTCTGCTGCAAACATTCTTAAAGCGTTACTATATCAAAAATACACAAGAACAATGGTGTACACCTGTGCACTAAGACAACATAACTCCTTCAGTCCGAGGGTAGGACATCCTCGTAAATACTCGTAATTAACCCACAAAAATACAAAATGGAAAAAAAACAACAAATGTTTTTGTTAGTCTCCCAAATTGACCAGCAGGATATGGTTGTTCCACACATTTCTCAAATTTACATACGTCACAGGAAAGCCGGTTGAGCCCTACCCCCGAAGAAAAAAGACAACCAATACGTATAATACCTCATGTTCAGCTTTACGAGCATACTCTTCTCACGGGCCGCACGTACTACTCGCTTATTGTGTTAGGAACGCCGAGGGCAGGGCTCATTTTCTGTTCCAAATAGTCTTTAAACCTTCGATTACTCAGATGCAGAAAACAAGGACACGGGGATACGGCCACCCCTAGTGCATCGAGCCTTTTCCAGTACATTCAAGCATTCAACATGCAAGGCACACGGAGAAAGTCACATTTTTTAAAGCTTACCTTTTACATAATGGTGCAAGGTCGGGAACATGTCAGTGAATAAGTACTTAAATTGATAGCAACTAGTGGGGTGTAATCCAAAATCTGAGACTACTTCACAACATATAGCGCACTAGTTGCATAATAATTCCACTCAAGAATCAAAAGATACAAAGTACTGAAGCAAGATAAACTCAAACAGTGCTGTATGTTATCACAGATGAGTATTATGACATAGACAACTTAAAACTTGGGGTCAGCATAGCTAACGTACGAGATAAATACCATTGGATTTTTTTTTACTTTTTGAAAGCATAGTTCGTTTCGCAGTACCCTCATAATAGACTCGCACTAAAACGTCGACAATATCGCCATCATCTAACAAATACGATCCGTGCTGTATTAAAGCCCACTGCACGGAACATTTGTTCGTGTACTGAGGGCAATCAGCATGGACGGGCTGTCAAGTTGTCTTAAACTAATCTTAAACTATTCTATTTTACATTATTTTTTCCAAATGTTAGCAAGTCAACCCCTCTTCCGTTAAAACAAATATTAAGAACTACTTCATCCGCGGATTCTACCACTTGCTACTTTAAGTCAGCAGCTCTTAATGGACCAACTTTTATCAATTCCATATTTACTCTATTTAAGAAAACGATCAGGTTAGAATGAAAAGCCCTTAAGATCTCCCCTTAAATACTAGTTTTAATCTTTTCTTGTTTATTTTTAATGTAGTCATTTTATATTGTCTTTATGAAGATTTAATTGAGAACAAATTGTCATTGGTCCAGAATCAAGTGGCCATAACCACTGCTCCATGCTGCTGCCGAATTTAAGATTAAGCAATAATTGCAAACTAATGCATTTAAAATATTCAGTAAATTACATTTTATCACAAAAGTACAGTAGCAACTGATAACCAGCATCAGAATAAGATAAATATAGAAATTCTAAAGCTTTCAGGAGATGGTTTACACCTTTTTAATTGAAAATTGCAGTGAGAAAAATACAATCAGAAATGAATAAAAGGCAAAGTTGTACATTTATACATGTAATATTAGTGCTGAATGATGCACACAAATGCAGATTTCATTATCTTTTCATTTTAATTCACATTATGCTCTCTAGTTACTTCACCCAAGGACCTTCCTTACAGAAATTCTTCAGGTCCTCCAAGAGCTCCTCCGGTTTGTACAACATAAAAAAAAATGAGTTGGGTTCAGGAGATTGAGAGATTGAGGTCAGTTTTAGAAATGTGATTCTGTTCTGGTTTAACTATCTCTTTGCAGAAATTGTCACTGTCCTAGAATGTTCCCCAGTGATTGTGGCCGAGTTTCCTAAAAGAGAGCTTTACGTTTTCAGCTAAAATACCTTCTTTAACTTTGAAATAAATTTAAGAAACAGAAGACACCAAAGTACAGTATAGCAGAGCTTCATCCACGCTTTCAAAAGCATAATTCTTCTCTAGGTTACCTGTAAGTGACCAAGTACAAAAGTTCTGCCATCAAAAAATTCTAAAAGCCTGGCCTATTTTGTGGTTAGATTAAACACAAAATGACATTTCTGGTACAATGGGTTGTTTATTTGTTTGGTGAAAAAACAGTGACACATGAAGAAAACCGACATTACAAAAAAGGTAAAGAGCATAAAGTAGTAGTAAAACATTCTAGAGTAATAAAAACATTAAACACATTTTTCATCCTATTTTTAAAATCTGTAAATTATTTAAAAACCACACTAAGCAGATACACAAGGATGTAAACTAAGAACTACAGGGAAAGAGAAATGAAATGGATTTTGTTTTATAAATGTCGGGAGTCACAAAATAACTAGCGGACTGCATCGCAAAAACACAATTTTATGAGCTTGGCCAGCTCTACTTGGCAATTGACTGAACCTCACCATGCCATTGCTGAAAGGATAGGCTGGCAGCGTTTACACTGTGTCAGCAAACAATATGGTAAGTTGTGTGCAGCTGAAAGTTATTTTGAAGATTTAAGTGACAGTTTGCTGTCTGATCACAAGGAAAGGGATATGATCAGCTTGGTTAGATTCACTAGTAATAGGTTTCCTGTCTCTTATACAATTCAGCCCATAAAGAGAAAAAAACCTTCCCTTCCAAATAGTTCAACTGGACTCCAATTCAGATTTATCTAAACCAGGTGCCGTATCCCAGTTTAGTCTTGAAAGAATTTTGTATGTATACATAAAATGTATTTTGTTGTTCATGAGGGATCTGTGCAGTAATGTCAACAGTCAATATACATTGCAAAATAATTTATTAAATGTTAAAAAATTGCTTAACCACACTGAAGTAATGTAAAAGTTCCATGTTTTATTACTTAGATATTGCTAAGTGATGAACAAGAACAATTATTTTTTGTCAGTCACTATTTTCACATCTACATTTACTCTGTACCTAATGTATCAGTCATAGGGCTGGGCAATATGGCCAAAAACATTATCACGATAATTTTCATATCAGTCGATATCGATAATTATCATGATAAATGTCAAATCATTATTTCTTTCAAGTTTAA